GTCACTCTGAAAATCATACCTACACACTCTGTGTTCAGTGTGTGTGTGTGTGTGTGTGTGTGTGTCATAACAAAATGTTGAGCAACTGCCATAAATCTATGTGGTGAGAGTAAAACAGTAGAGTTGAGAGCGGCTTCAGTACACGTTCACGTTTGTTTTAATTAAGGTGACATTATTCAATAATAATAACTTTATTTATACAGCACTTTTTAAACGTCACACAGTGCTTTATGAAGAGCAGGCCCGTCACACACACACACACACACAGCGTTTGAACAGCAGCAGAAATACGGAATGATACAGATAGTAAACACACGTATATATCTTTAAATCATTTGAGAGAGCAGCCAGAGTTGATTTATAAATCTGTTTGTTTACGAGGTTATGGAGTTTTAATGAAAACAACATTTTATTATTTCTCATTTTGGCCACAAGGTGTGACCGAGTGTGCTCTGTGGGGCCGTGCTGTCCTAGCGATTTGACCTACATGACACTGCAAGTCACTCCGTGTGCGCGCGTGTGTGTGTGTGTGTGTGCATGTGTGTGTGTGTGTGTGTGGTGCCAGGTGAACACTCCCTGTTTACTGCATTACACCTCATTAACTTAATGGATGAGTAGAAACAGGTTGAGGCAGGAAGGAGGAAATAATACATAAGACTGACAGTTCACCTGCAGCGCCCCCTGCTGGAGGTTAGAGTCATTACACAGAGTACAGGTATAAGTACTCAGGTCTTGTACTTGAGTAAAGGTACAAGTACTCAGGTATTGTACTTGAGTAAAAGTAGAAGTACACCATGTACCTCTGAACTGTAGTGGAGTAGAAGTACACCATGTACCTCTGAACTGTAGTGGAGTAGAAGTACACCATGTACCTCTGAACTGTAGTGGAGTAGAAGTACACCATGTACCTCTGAACTGTAGTGGAGTAGAAGTACACCAGTTACCTCTGAACTGTAGAGGAGTAGAAGTACACCATGTACCTCTGAACTGTAGTGGAGTAGAAGTACACCATGTACCTCTGAACTGTAGTGGAGTAGAAGTACACCATGTACCTCTGAACTGTAGTGGAGTAGAAGTACACCATGTACCTCTGAACTGTAGTGGAGTAGAAGTACACCATGTACCTCTGAACTGTAGAGGAGTAGAAGTACACCATGTACCTCTGAACTGTAGTGGAGTAGAAGTACACCATGTACCTCTGAACTGTAGTGGAGTAGAAGTACACCATGTACCTCTGAACTGTAGTGGAGTAGAAGTACACCATGTACCTCTGAACTGTAGTGGAGTAGAAGTACACCATGTACTTCTGAACTGTAGTGGAGTAGAAGTACACCATGTACCTCTGAACTGTAGTGGAGTAGAAGTACACCATGTACCTCTGAACTGGAGTAGAAGTACACCATGTACCTCTGAACTGTAGTGGAGTAGAAGTACACCATGTACCTCTGGACTGTAGTGGAGTAGAAGTACACCATGTACCTCTGAACTGTAGTAGAAGTACACCATGTACCTCTGAACTGTAGTAGAAGTACACCATGTACCTCTGAACTGTAGTAGAAGTACACCATGTACCTCTGAACTGTAGTAGAAGTACACCATGTACCTCTGAACTGTAGTAGAAGTACACCATGTACCTCTGAACTGTAGTAGAAGTACACCATGTACCTCTGAACTGTAGTAGAAGTACACCATGTACCTCTGAACTGTAGTGGAGTAGAAGTACACCATGTACCTCTGAACTGTAGAGGAGTAGAAGTACACCATGTACCTCTGAACTGTAGTGGGGTAGAAGTACACCATGTACCTCTGAACTGCAGTGGAGTAGAAGTACACCATGTACCTCTGAACTGCAGTGGAGTAGAAGTACACCATGTACCTCTGAACTGTAGTGGAGTAGAAGTACACCATGTACCTCTGAACTGCAGTGGAGTAGAAGTACACCATGTACCTCTGAACTGTAGTAGAAGTACACCATGTACCTCTGAACTGTAGTGTAGTAGAAGTACACCATGTACCTCTGAACTGTAGTGGAGTAGAAGTACACCATGTACCTCTGAACTGTAGTGGAGTAGAAGTACACCATGTACCTCTGAACTGTAGTAGAAGTACACCATGTACCTCTGAACTGTAGTGGAGTAGAAGTACACCATGTACCTCTGAACTGTAGTGGAGTAGAAGTACACCATGTACCTCTGAACTGTAGTAGAAGTACACCATGTACCTCTGAACTGTAGTGGAGTAGAAGTACACCATGTACCTCTGAACTGTAGTAGAAGTACACCATGTACCTCTGAACTGTAGTAGAAGTACACCATGTACCTCTGAACTGTAGTGGAGTAGAAGTACACCATGTACCTCTGGACTGTAGTGCAGTAGAAGTACACCATGTACCTCTGAACTGTAGTGGAGTAGAAGTACACCATGTACCTCTGAACTGTAGTAGAAGTACACCATGTACCTCTGAACTGTAGTGGAGTAGAAGTACACCATGTACCTCTGGACTGTAGTGGAGTAGAAGTACACCATGTACCTCTGAACTGTAGTGGAGTAGAAGTACACCATGTACCTCTGAACTGTAGTGGAGTAGAAGTACACCATGTACCTCTGAACTGTAGTGGAGTAGAAGTACACCATGTACCTCTGGACTGTAGTGGAGTAGAAGTACACCATGTACCTCTGGACTGTAGTGGAGTAGAAGTACACCATGTACCTCTGAACTGTAGTAGAAGTACACCATGTACCTCTGAACTGTAGTGGAGTAGAAGTACACCATGTACCTCTGAACTGTAGTGGAGTAGAAGTACACCATGTACCTCTGGACTGTAGTGGAGTAGAAGTACACCATGTACCTCTGAACTGTAGTGGAGTAGAAGTACACCATGTACCTCTGGACTGTAGTGGAGTAGAAGTACACCATGTACCTCTGAACTGTAGTAGAAGTACACCATGTACCTCTGAACTGTAGTGGAGTAGAAGTACACCATGTACCTCTGAACTGTAGTGGAGTAGAAGTACACCATGTACCTCTGAACTGTAGTGGAGTAGAAGTACACCATGTACCTCTGAACTGTAGTGGAGTAGAAGTACACCATGTACCTCTGAACTGTAGTGGAGTAGAAGTACACCATGTACCTCTGAACTGTAGAGGAGTAGAAGTACACCATGTACCTCTGAACTGTAGTGGAGTAGAAGTACACCATGTACCTCTGAACTGTAGTGGAGTAGAAGTACACCATGTACCTCTGAACTGTAGTGGAGTAGAAGTACACCATGTACCTCTGAACTGTAGAGGAGTAGAAGTACACCATGTACCTCTGAACTGTAGTGGAGTAGAAGTACACCATGTACCTCTGAACTGTAGAGGAGGAAAAGTACACAGTAGCATAACATGGAAAGACTCAGATAAAGTACAAGTACCTCTAAATTGTAGTACAAACGTCCTCTGACGTCACAAACAGGTTTTTCTCGTGGCACAAACACGTCTTTGTTCTCTCAGCGTTGCGGAAACAGAACACGAACACAGCACTCTGTTTGTTTGTATTTATTTAAAAAGAAGAACAACAGATGTAAATAAAAAAATACATGTTTCTGCTCAGCGGCATGAGGATAGAAAACCAGACGCAGCCGACTCTCTGCAAACAGAAACCTGATTTAACAAAATATATATTTATATTTAATGGAATACATTCTGAAGCTCAGGTAATCTCTGCACGCACACACCTGGCGACCCACAATGCAGCAGGCTTTAAAAAAAACTTTATTGTACAAAAGGCCGTCCGCAGCTCCTCGTGCTGGTGTTGGGTTTTTGGTTTGATCAGAAGGTTTTCAGCGAGCGGCGCGTCGGTATATTGCTGTGAGTTTCTGCATCAGCAGGGCGACTCAGGAGGACTCGGGAGGACTCAGGAGGACTCAGGAGGACTCAGGAGGACTCAGGAGGACTCAGGAGGACTCAGGAGGACTCAGGAGGACTCAGGAGGACTCAGGAGGACTCAGGAGGACTCAGGAGGACTCAGGAGGACTCGGGAGGACTCGGGACTGGCTCTGAACACGGCTCAGGAGGACTCGTCACTGGCTCTGAACACGGCTCAGGAGGACTCGTCACTGGCTCTGAACGTGACTCAGGAGGACTCGTCACTGGCTCTGAACGTGACTCAGGAGGACTCGTCACTGGCTCTGAACACGGCTCAGGAGGACTCGTCACTGGCTCTGAACGCGACTCAGGAGGACTCGTCACTGGCTCTGAACGCGACTCAGGAGGACTCGTCACTGGCTCTGAACGCGGCTCAGGAGGACTCGTCACTGGCTCTGAACACCACAGGAAATAGTGGATCCAGAATAAGGCAACATGCAGAATAATGTGCCTGAAGCTAACGTATCACCACGACGAAGGAATCTGCTTGGAACACACTGTTTTCTGAATCATCACCTGGAGGGTAAAGGCATTTGGAGAAAGCCTCAGAGCACCATCAGAGGAATATATTCTCTATTACAAATGTAGGAAATGTCCACGGTGATGCGTTTGGCAATTTTACGACACGTCAATGATCAAAGCGTTCAGATTCAGTCTTGTTTTTAAAAAGTACGGAAGCCCTGAAGGACAAATGAGAGAAACTGTGGTGATGTGTTTTCTAAATCTGATCCGGTTCCCCCCCCCCCCCGGTGTCTGACTGGAGAGGGGATTCAACAGCCTGAGAGACCCCCCTCTGCTGCAGGTGGAATTAAGTGCATTCAAAATATTCCTAAAAAGCACCAGATTTTTACACACACACACACACACACACACACACACACACACACACACACACACACACACACACACACACACACACACACACACACACACACACACACACACACACACACACACACACACACACACACACACACACACACACACACACACACACACACACACACACACACACACACACACACACACACACACACACACACACACACACACACACACACACACACACACACACACACACACACACACACACACACACACACACACCACACACACACACACACACACACACACACACACACACACACACACACACACACACGAATCTGGGCAAACAGTTTTGATCACGAGCTTCGAAAAATACAATAATTCAAAGAAAAAATAATTATTAAAATGTTTTTTTTGGTTGAATATTATTTGGATTTCGTTCGTAGTAATAAAATGTTTTTTTATATTTCTCTTTTATCTATATTCTGATATTTGAGTCATAATAATAGTTGTGTGGTTTATGGTTCCTTGAAGGCAACGTGACTAGATATAAGACCTGTCACTCATGGCGTAAGTCCCGCCCCCAAACGCAACATCATAAAATCTGAAAGCGAAAAATACGAGAAAAAAAAAGTTCTGAATCTGGAAAATAAAATAATGACTGAAATATGAAGACATAAATAAACGTGAAAAAGATTATTAAAATGCTTGAAAACACTTTTCTAATACTTGCTTTTAGTTTGAAATGTTGTAATTTGACTGTATTTTTTAAATCAACGATCAAAAACGTTGAATATTTTTTTTGGAATATATTTTCAACGTTCTTTCCAGATTTCACGTTGAAATGAAATGAAATGAATTGAAATGAATTGAAATGAATTGTATTCTTCCCCCAAATGTTGGGTTGCTCTCCTCAGTGGAAGCAGGCTCTGTAGCAGACGTACGCTCCGACTGCCAGAAATGAGACCAGGCACACGTTGGTGAGGAGGGGCCAAGAACCAGGACTCTGGGGGTCTTTAGGGGGGTCTAACTCCTCCAGAGGCCCCTCAAAACTCTCCTCCATCTTCTCCTCCTTCTCCTCCATCTCCTTCTCCAGCTTCTCCTCCTCCAGCTTCTCCTTCTCCAGATGCTGTTGCTGTCGAGGGGGTTTTGGAGGAGCAGGAGACGGAGGATCCTCCATCAGGACGTCAGCAGGAGGAAGAGGAGGGAGAGGAGCAGCCAGGTTCCTCTTCCTCAGCTCCGGCTCCTGAGAGGACCTGAGGAAGAGGAGGAGGAAGAGGAGGAGGAGGTCAGGTTTTATTAAACGGACACACAGAGGTATAAAGACGCTTGGAGCCAAAGTGGAGCGACTGTTGGTTCAGAAAGTGTTCCTTGATCCCCCGGTCGATCATTGAGCCGCCGAGAGGTGAGATACATCTAGATTCAACTTGTAGCACCTTTTACACCCTAATGATTTAAATAAAGAAGTGTTGGTCCGGGTGTTCACAGACGTCTCTTTCCCAGTTACGTCACAGACTTTCTATTCTGTTGTGTCTGTTGTGTCTGTTGTGTCTGTTGTGTCTGTTGTGTCTGTTGTGTCTGTTGCATGTCCTATATTCATGCTGCTCTGGTGGAGGAGCCTGGGACTTCAGGTTTTCACTGCAGCTAATGTGCTGAGGACGATAGAGAGGCCAAGCCCCTCCCTTTCCCGTGTGATGTATTGAAGTCAATGGAGAGATAAATTATCTTTCGATAGCGTTTGAATTGTGTCATGAATTACACATATGATGTTTGTCAATCTTAAAAGATATTTGTTATGTTTGTCGCACTTATCTGTGCGTGAAAGCGCTCCATGAGCTCCATCTTTGGTCTCGCACAACACACGGCACCAACACCAGACTGAGGCGAACAGTATTACAGGAGGTGGGATCACTACCGTCTGGGCGTGTGCTATGTGCTACTGAGCTGCTGTCACACCAAAGGGGAGCTAGTCGGGTCCGTAGAGCCAGCATGCGGGACCGGCTGAACAATGGTTCTGTGAGTGTTAAACTATGTAATGTGTAACGCTAATGTCAGCTAGCTAACATTAGCTAACATTAGCTAACAAGGTACACTCTTGTGTTTTGTTTTAGCAACTCGTTTTCTGCGTACCTTGTCCTTGCCAACTCTAATGTTCTCCACAGCGATCACGCAGTTCTTAACGAAAAAAAACAAGTTGCTCAAACAAAACACGTGAGTATACCTTGTTAGCTAATGTTAGCTAGCTGACATTAGACATTACACTCGTTCAACACTCAGCTCTTACGGAACCGACTAACTCTCCTTTTGTGTACAGCTCTCAACGCGCCCAGACGTGTTCACCACCTCCTTCAACACCGCTCACCTCATTCTGGTGTCAGTCACGCGTGTTGTGCGAGACCAGAGATGGAGCTCATCACGCGTGTTGTGCGAGACCAGAGATGGAGCTCATCACGCGTGTTGTGCGAGACCAGAGATGGAGCTCATCACGCGTGTTGTGCGAGACCAGAGATGGAGCTCATCGAGCGGTTTCACACACAGTTTTAAGACAACATTTGTTTTCTTGATTTGCAAAACGACCTGGTTAAATAAAGGATACACATATATAAACGTTTACCCCAGGCTGCATGTCTGCATCTGCTGGAGGACCTCTTGGTGTTCGGGGAAGAAGCTCGACTCCACCCGGTCGACGGGAGGGTCTCTGGGGGGAGGAGGAGGAGGAGGAGGGGTGAACTCTGGAGGCTCGTCTTCCTCCTTAGAAAGCTCCTTCCACGACTCCTGCAGAAATACACAAATACAGTTGGTAGTTAAACAACATGTCTCATGGTGCGTCCACACGGCAGCGTGCGTTGAAGCTTGCCGGTGGGCGTATCTGGCGTGGACCAACAACCAATCACATCAATCTCCCGCCCCGGAGACACAAGCACGCGGTTTGATTGGCTAGAGCAGGGTCTATGCAGGAATCCTGAAGTCACATGTAAGACCCTTTCTAAGACCCTTTCCATACATTTTAAGACCTCATCGCCACTTGGAGTTCTAACCGGTTACCTTGGCGACACACTTTCCCTCACATGTACTATACACAGTATTGATTGTCCTTCCTCCTTATCTTCCAACCATTTGGACGCAGACTTGCATTTCCCCATAACGATGTTGTTTAACAACCGGCGTAAACGGACCTTCGCGCGCTATCAAGCAGTGAGCGTGTGATGTCCTGTTCAGATGACGTCAAACCCAACGGGATGCCATAAATAAACTACACAGAATCACACTACACACCTACGCAATGATTACATTCAGGCAGACTGTAGAATACAACCTCTTTGGACAATTTATATACTTATTGGAAACAAGCTACAAAATGTAACACCTTGGAAAATGCCCTTTAATACTTTTTAATAGCCTTCATTTTCGCTAAATTGATTGATCAAATTGTAATACTTTTTAAGACCCCGCGGACCCCCTGTAGAGCTTGTTCTGGCATATGATTTGATTGGCTGGCGCTTCCGTCGACGCTTGAAAAGTTGAAGTTTTCTCAACTTTTGAATTGAGCACCGGAGGCAAAGCGAGGGAACCACAATGCAGTTCGGCAAAGCGTGACGTCACCTCATTCAAAGTGAATGGGCAGCGTCTCCGTTGAAGCACGCAGCGCTGCCGTGTGGACGGGCCGTTATGGGGCTAAATGTGCTTAAACCTGAATTGAAGAGAGTGAAATGTGACTAAGATTTAGTGCACTAAACTAAATGATATGTATTAATAACATGTATGTATGACTTCTCTCTCCACTCAACACACGTGCTGCTCCATTTGTTCCTTTGGGGGAATCAGAGAGACTTCAGACGTGGATGAAGTCAAGTCGTACTAGAGGTTAAACATCAGTTTGAAAACTCTCTGTTAAAGCCAGTTTTTGTTTTGGGAAAAGGTCAAATAATACGTTAACCTCTGTAGTCCATAGGATATACAAAAAACTACAATTCCCATCCTCTGTTAAAGCACAAGCCCTGCATTCAAACCGTACTAAAGTTAAAAGCTCAAACGTTTCAGCATCAAATTAAAACGACTCGTTATCCAAACTGAATAACTAAACCTCGACTCAATCTGTAACCTCTGTAATGGAGGGGGGGTTGTTTACCTGCAGACTGGTGTCCCCCCCGATGTATTTGGCGCCCTCGATGACGGCGAGGTAGGAGAACCGGAGCTGATCGGCCGTCTGGATCAAACCCATCCGGTACCGCCTCATCTCCAGCAGAACCTCCCGGATCCTCACCGAGGACGGGTCCTTACGGGCCGACATCTGGGGGGAAGACGGGGGGATTAATGCCACGTTTAAACTTTTAAATATAAAACAAACGGTCGGGTAAATTACATCACATTTAAGCTTTGTCTGGGGATGCAACCTGGATGAAAGGAAAAGTGTCAAAATAACTATAATTTCACAGGAAGACGAATGAGAGAATCTGGTGAGGGATGTTTCCAAATATCTGGAACTCCGACTACTTTTAAATCCAGGCTTTTTAATGTTTCTAATGTCTTTCATTTTTGTAAATCACTTATCAGTACTGTATAAATAAACTTGCCTTTAAAATATAAAACAAACAATCGGGTAAATTAAATCACATTTAAGCTTTTTAAACTAAGAGCTCTCAAACTGTTTACACTTAGCTACTTTTAATAATAATAATCAGGGTTTAAGTGTTATTCTATATTTTGCACTTAACCTGTTTTCCAGGTCTCAGGCTCGAAAATGGAAATAAACTAATAAGAAAATGCTTAAAGGAATAAGACAGAGTTTCGTCTGGAGAGTGCGTGCGGACCTGTCGGTTAGATAACAGGCGTGTTCAAGTCCTGCATCTGTGTGATACACATGTGTGTAGAATGATACCGGGCGCTGTAATCACTCATCTGGTTACGTTATTACATTGACCCCCCTCATGCAGCTCACTGATCCAGTAATGAGTGACCCGACAGTGAAGAATAAATATATGTATAACTAGTTCCAAAGGTAGATAAAATAGCTAAGTGTGTTAGGTCTAACTCTTAGTGTGTTAGGTCTAACTCTTAGTGTGTTAGGTCTAACTCTTAGTGTGTTAGGTCTAACTCTTAGTGTGTTAGGTCTAACTCTTAGTGTGTTAGGTCTAACTCTTGTGTGTTTCGCTCCGCTCAGCGGTCCGTCACAGCGGGTGGAGCTGCAGGATTTCTGCTTCACACACGTTGCAAACCGCTATTTTATTGTCTTTTTCGGACACCTTAAAATACTGCCAGACTGCTGAAGCAATTTTTGCGAGCTTGTTTTGCACAGAGAAAAGTGTCATGTATGTTACGCCTCGCGATCAGCCTTTTTAGAGAGCACCGATCGATCGGCAGAGAGTGAGTATCGGCCGATATCGATCGCCACGCAAAAACTGCGGCATTTGTACAGCTCCTTATGGGTAATGCAATTTGTGAAGTGCTTTCCTCTGTGGTGAAACGATCAGCCCTGCATTACGGAGGAAAGCGGAAGAAAGTCGCCTGGAGTTAAACAGAGCGGGGCTGCGTTGCGTGCATTAGTGATGTGTCGGTCGCGAACGAGCCGATTCTTTTGAACGGGTCTTTGGTACGAACGAGGGGAACCGAGTCGTACTTGGTGAGAGCCGTTCTTGTTATCGTTCAAACGTTGGTCCGCACTCACTGCCTGCCAAAATCCACTCGCCTTTTAAAAAGCTTGATTTTGTTCCCCAAATGTATTCTGTGAAGATCCGCCCCTACTCTGATTGGTAGGTTTCAGCACGAGGAGTGAGGTGGGGTTGGTCTTAACGGAATACGCGAGAGAGAGAAGTCATACCAAGTGGTAGGGGACAGGTAGACAACGGGTTATTCGGATGGAAAATGAGCCAAACGTGAAAACGCAGCAGCATTTGGATTCACTTCAACCAAAACCCAGGCAGTAATAAAGCGCACCATTTGTAAAGGCAACATATCCTTTAAAGCAGGGTCAACAAATAATCTCCATCGCCACTTCAAAACACAGTATCTAATATTAAGAGTTGCGTGAATTTCATTCAAGGCAAGGCAACTTTATTTACTTAACACATACAGAGGGTAAATTCAAAGTACATTCACTGACATGATGACATGGGTATGGCGCCACCTTGTGTCATGTTTACAATGCCGATTATTGACATTAGGTCTGGCAATGCAGTCAATCATTATCCTGGTGATTATTTTGCAGACAAACCTAGAAACCTTAAAGAAACGGCTCTTTTGAACGGCTCTTTTGAACGGCTCTTTTGAACGGCTCTTTTGAACGGCTCTTTTGAATGGCTCTTTGAAAGGAACGGAGCCATAAGATCCGGCTCCCTTCAAAGAGCCATAATTCCCATCACTAGCGTGCATGGCTTCCTCCTGCAGGTAACGGGGAGACGCGCTCTGGCGGCGGTCTCGTTCAGGATCCGAAAATAAAATTTAAATATTTTGCACATTTATTCCACTTATTCCTAGTGTGCCACTGGTTACGGTGCCGCGTGCCAGGGGCTGCCGACCCCTTCACTAGAGCCAATAGAATCGAGGGGAAGTTCCTAAAGTCTTACCATTGGTGGACAGAGTGATGCGTAGCCTGAACACCATTGGTGGACAGAGTGATGCGTAGCCTGAACACCATTGGTGGACAGAGTGATGCGTAGCCTGAACACCATTGGTGGACAGAGTGATGCGTAGCCTGAACACCATTGGTGGACAGAGTGATGCGTAGCCTGAACACCATTGGTGGACAGAGTGATGCGTAGCCTGAACACCATTGAACACAACCATTGATCCGAAACAGCAAAAGGTAAGACATATTTGCCGTTTTGGCCCCGTAAAGTGAAGTTGTGTGTTGTCTGGTTTCGCGAGTTTTTGTGGCACAGTGATGATACCTCTAGAATCTGTGGAATCTCAGCTTTAATCTGATATCTTGTTTGTGCAGATCCGATAAGTAATAAAGTATTTCTACCGTGAGTTCTGTGCTAAGTGCGTTAGCATTTTTTCGCTCAGGGCTAATTCAGAAGCTTGTTATTACCCTTGTGTTTCGTTTAGCTAAAAATGGTTAATATTGTCTGATAGCTGAGTTTCTTCCCGTTAAGTGGGTATGACACATTCATAGTTTGTTAAATGTTAAGAAGCCCTCAGACGCTGTTTCTTGCAGATGTTGTGTTTTTGCCCCCATTAGTGTAGTGTAGTGTAAGGTAGTGTAGTGTAAGGTAGTGTAAGGTAGTGTAAGGTAAGGTAAGGTAAGGTAAGGTGAGGTGAGGTGAGGTGAGGTGAGGTGAGGTGAGGTGAGGTGAGGTGAGGTGAGTGAGGTGAGGTGAGGTGAGGTGAGGTGAGGGAGGTGAGTGGTGAGGTGAGGTGAGGTGAGGTGAGGTGAGGTGAGGTGAGGTGAGGTGAGGTGAGGTGGTGAGGTGAGGTGAGGTGAGGTGAGGTGAGGTGAGGTGAGGTGAGGTGAGGTGAGGTGAGGTGAGGTGAGGTGAGGTGAGGTGAGGTGAGGTGAGGTGAGGTGCGGTGAGGTGAGGTGAGGTGAGGTGAGGTGAGGTGAGGTGAGGTAAGGTAATGTAAGGTAAGGTAAGGTAAGGTAAGGTAATGTAAGGTAATGTGATGTAACGTGACGTGACGTGACGTAACGTAAGGTAAGGTAAGGTAATGTAAGGTAATGTAAGGTAACGTAAGGTAAGGTAAGGTAAGGTAATGTAAGGTAATGTAAGGTATGGTAAGGTAATGTAAGGTAAGGTGTGATGTGATGTGACGTAACGTTACGTGAGGTGAGGTAACGTTACGTGAGGTGACGCAACGTTACGTGAGGTGACGTAATGTAATGTAAGGTAATGTAAGGTAAGGTAATGTAATGTAAGGTAATGTAAGGTAAGGTAATGTAATGTAAGGTAATGTAAGGTGTGATGTGATGTGACGTAACGTTACGTGAGGTGACGTAACGTTACGTGAGGTGACGTAACGTTACGTGAGGTGACGTAATGTAATGTAAGGTAATGTAAGGTAAGGTAATGTAAGGTAATGTAAGGTAATGTAATGTAGCGCTCTCACCAGCAGGAGGCAGCTGTCCACCAGGCAGAAGGTCCCGGAGCGTCCGATGCCGGCGCTGCAGTGAACGACCACCGGACCCTCGGAGGTCAAACAGCCCGACTCTCGCACCTTAAACAGGAAGTTCAGGAAGGAGGCGGGGGACTCGGGGACCCCGAAGTCTGGCCAGGTGGTGTAGTGGAAGTGGAGGATCTCTCGAGTCTCTGCAGTCTGGGGGGGGGGGGGAAGATTAAAGATTAAAACTCAGAAGAGAGAAGGACTCCAGGATTAAAGGTTTGAGAGGTGAGTAGTGGTCTCAAAGTCTCTCCATCACAACTGTGAGTAAAACTGATCATTCATTATTAGTGGAGAATCTCCCTCGTCTCTGATATTGATATCTGTCCATGTTGATGTTACACATGGAGCTGCTGTGATGCAAGTCACATTTCAGACTTGATCTGACCATTCAAGTATTATCGTATCGTCAGACGTGGGAAGTACAAATACTTCCTTACTGTACTTAAGTACATTTTTCTGGTATCAATACTTTACTCCACGACTTTTTACTTTGACTTCTTACATGTTGAACACAAATACCTGTACTTTCTACTTCTTACATGTTGAACCCAAATACCTGTACTTTCTACTTCTTACATGTTGAACCCAAATACCTGTACTTTCTACTTCTTACATGTTGAACCCAAATACCTGTACTTTCTACTTCTTACATGTTGAACCCAAATACCTGTACTTTCTACTTCTTACATGTTGAACACAAATACCTGTACTTTCTACTTCTTACATGTTGAACTCAAATACCTGTACTTTCTACTTCTTACATTTTGAACACAAATACCTGTACTTTCTACTTCTTACATGTTGAACACAAATACCTGTACTTTCTACTTCTTACATGTTGAACACAAATACCTGTACTTTCTACTTCTTACATGTTGAACTCAAATACCTGTACTTTCTACTTCTTACATTTTGAACACAAATACCTGTACTTTCTACTTCTTACATGTTGAACACAAATACCTGTACTTTCTACTTCTTACATGTTGAACCCAAATACCTGTACTTTCTACTTCTTACATGTTGAACACAAATACCTGTACTTTCTACTTCTTACATGTTGAACTCAAATACCTGTACTTTCTACTTCTTACATTTTGAACACAAATACCTGTACTTTCTACTTCTTACATGTTGAACACAAATACCTGTACTTTCTACTTCTTACATGTTGAACACAAATACCTGTACTTTCTACTTCTTACATGTTGAACACAAATACCTGTACTTTCTACTTCTTACATGTTGAACACAAATACCTGTACTTTCTACTTCTTACATGTTGAACTCAAATACCTGTACTTTCTACTTCTTACATTTTGAACACAAATACCTGTACTTTCTACTTCTTACATGTTGAACACAAATACCTGTACTTTCTACTTCTTACATGTTGAACACAAATACCTGTAACTTTCTACTTCTTACATGTTGAACCCAAATACCTGTACTTTCTACTTCTTACATGTTGAACCCAAATACCTGTACTTTCTACTTCTTACATGTTGAACACAAATACCTGTACTTTCTACTTCTTACATGTTGAACTCAAATACCTGTACTTTCTACTTCTTACATGTTGAACCCAAATACCTGTACTTTCTACTTCTTACATGTTGAACACAAATACCTGTACTTTCTACTTCTTACATGTTGAACTCAAATACCTGTACTTTCTACTTCTTACATTTTGAACACAAATACCTGTACTTTCTACTTCTTACATGTTGAACACAAATACCTGTACTTTCTACTTCTTACATGTTGAACCCAAATACCTGTACTTTCTACTTCTTACATGTTGAACCCAAATACCTGAACTTTCTACTTCTTACATGTTGAACACAAATACCTGTACTTTCTACTTCTTACATTTTGAACACAAATACCTGTACTTTCTACTTCTTACATGTTGAACTCAAATACCTGTACTTTCTACTTCTCACATTTTCCAAACAGGCTGGTTCCTTTAGTTTGAATGTGTGTTTGGTGGCGTGATCATTATTATTTAGAGTCATTGCGTGCCTATTGATTTGAACACGATCCGTGTATCCATCATTTCCTGGTCTTCTCTAAAGAAGAGGGACCAATGAAAATGTTGTCATGTTGCCGTTGTTCAGCATGGAAACATTCATTAGCTAACAATGACATTATTGTTCTATTAATATAAAGGGAGGTCAGGTACTCTTTAAAACAGCTGCTAGTTATGGGTACTTTTTACTGAAGTACATTTCAAAGCCCTCTTTACTTTTACTTGAGTAAAGAAGTTTAGTCAGTACTTCTACTTTCACCAGAGTGTTTTTAAACACGAGTATCTGTACTTCTACTTGAGTAAAGGATGTGTGTACTTCTGCCCTCTCTGCGTATCGTATCGTACTTTATTGATCCCAGATTGGGAGACCCTTTGAGACATCACAGAAAGCCTCCGACTCACCGAGAGGTTCTCCAGCTCCAGCTGCCTCACGGTGTAATAAGACTTCACGTCCTCGGAGACGAAGGTGAGTTTGAAGTTGGTGTCTTCGAACACGGCGTCTCTTTCCTCTCTCTGAGGCCAGTACTGAGCACATTTAATCTGAAACACACGGGAGGAGACGTGGTGAGTTCACTGACCCTGAAACACAGTGGGGAGACGTGGTGAGTTCACTGACCCTGAAACACAGTGGGGAGAAACATGTTTTTGGGAGAAGGGGTGTGAACTTCTTCCCTCCCCTTTGCAGATGTGTAGTTAGATCATTTGTTTATATATCATTTGTAAGTCAATAGTCTTTTTTTTTTATCAATTTGATGCAGCTTAACTTTGTACAGTATCATAACCCTCATGTTTCATTTCATTATTATTATTCGTGTTATTGTTTTAAATGTTGGAAACCAATCCAATCAAAGAGAGACTCACGGATCCTTTCTCCACGACTCTGTTGAGCATCACCACGCCTCGACTCCTCTGCTCCCACACCATCTCCCAGAAGCTCCCACAGGTGTTGGGGAGAGGGCCCTGAAGCACAGCGGGGGGGGACACAGAGAGTCACGTAGCAGGTAGACAAAGCAGCAATAACTAAGAGCAGCCAACGTCTTAAATATAGAGAAAAATCACATTTTGGTAATAAAATACAAATAAAGACAAATAAGGACATTTTGTGAACATATTAAGGTTTTGAGATGTTCTAATGATTTGGATTATTGCACAGTAGAATAACAATGTGGTGGGTTATTCTCAGAAAAACTTAATTAAGAAAAGGGTTTTATTCTCGTTTAAAAAAGGGTTTTATTCTCAGTACAACTCAAAAAAAAAGGGGTGAAAACTCGATTAAAAAAGGGTTTTATTCTCAGTAAAAATTGATTAAAAATGTATTTTATTCCGAGTAAATCTCGACAAATAAAGTGTGTAATTCTCAGTAAAACTGGATAAAGACAGGTGTTGGGAAGTCCCTGAAACACAGGCAGGGAAAGAGAGGAAGTGACATAGCAGGTAGAAAAGATAGCAATAATCAAGAGTAGCTAACGATTAAAATAAGGTTTGATTCTCAGAGAAACTCAATAAAAAAGCGTTTTATTCTCAATTAAATAAGCGTTTTATTCTCAATTAAATAAGCGTTTTATTCTCTATTAAATAAGCGTTTTATTCTCTATTAAATAAGTGTTTTATTCTCAATTAAATAAGCGTTTTATTCTCAATTAAATAAGCATTTTATTCTCAATTAAATAAGCGTTTTATTCTCTATTAAATAAGCGTTTTATTCTCAGTAAAGCTCAATAACAAAAAGGGTTTTATTCTCAGAGAAACTAGTTAAAGAAATGGTTTTGTACCCAGTGAAACTCAATGAAAATTAAAGCTGCAAGCAGCGTTGAGCGGGTCTTCGACGCTCCGCAGGCTGTTGTCCACACGTCGACGTCAGGCAGATGTCTCGAGGACTCGGCCGTTGGCAAACGTGGGAAGTTTCAGGCCGATCGGACAATGTATTTAGGAGTTACAGCAGTATCATAAACATTGTGTTTGATGGCGAGTGATCTGTCGCCGTGGCAACGTAAATTGATGACACCCCATAATACGCCTAGATATGTTGAGGGCTGCATCGTTATCAAACCTGGGAAGTTTTGTGCCGTTTGGAGCATGTTAACTGGAGTTATGAGAAAATCGTGTTTCATGGCGACCATTTTGTTACCATAGCAACAACATTTGATGAAATCTCAAAACTGACACATATATGTCTCGAGGGCTTGATGGTTAGCCATCATATGAAATCTGGTGCCGTTTGAACGATTTTCCATCGAGTTAGGACAACACCGTGTTTTTTGGCGAGGGATCTGTCGCCATGGCAACGGCATATGATGACACCCCATAATGGACTTAGAGCTATTCAGGGCCGGACCATTAGCCATCATATGAAGTATGGTGCCGTTTGGACCATTTTCATAGGAGTAACAGCGACACCGTGTTTTATGGCGAGGGATCTGTCGCCATGGCAACGGCATATGATGACATCCCATAATTGGCGTAGAGCTGTTGAGGGCCAGACCATTAGCCATCATCTGACGTCTGGTGCTATTTGGACGATTTTCCATTGAATTAAGACAACATCGTGTTTTATGGCGAGTGATTCGTTGCCATGGAAACGGCATACGGTGAGATCTCAGATTTCACGTAGAGCTGGTGAGGCATGGACCGGTGATATAAAAGTGAAGATTGGGGGACGATGGGACCGTGTCCATTGCAGTTACAGCGACACCGTGTTTTATGGCGAGGGATGCGTTGCCATGGTAACGCCATATTAAGTAACATCACATTTGACGTAGAGCTGTTCAGGACCGCAGTGTTAACCATCACGTGAAGTGTGGTGGCGTTCTGAGTATGTCAGTTGGCGTAATGACATCATCGTGTTCCATGAAGAGGGATCGCCAAGCATCGAGCGAACGCGAACTTTGGCGCCAAATCACGGCTACGCCGTGCGAAAGAAAAAAACTTCCGTGATAACTTTGAATTGCCCATGTCTCGAGACGCTACCTGACGAATTTCGAGTCGTACGGATAAAGTCCCTGGGAGAAGATAGATTTCATGCGGAGGACGAAAAACGCGATAAATCGCGTTTTTCCGATGCCAAATTCAAAATGGCCGGCTTCCTGTACGTTATTTTATACCCCTCAAAGAGGCTTTTTGGTTTGTCTCCGCACCCTAGATATGCGTAGCGAGTTTCGTTCGTTTACGTGAAAGTTAAAGTGGGGGGAGTTTACGTTAAAAACGGAAGTGGGCGTGGCCTACGCAATTTTTGACGCAAAGTTCCGGAACCAATTACACATCTGAAGTTGCACCACTTCTGACGCGCGTGCACAATTTGGTGAGTTTTCACATATGTTGCGGGGGTCAAAGGTTTATCGGTCGCTGCGCGACCGATTTCAATAGGGTCTTCGCCGACCGAGGTCTCAGACCCTAATTCGCCGACCGAGGTCTCAGACCCTAATAAGGTCTCATTCTCAGTAAAACAGTGCAAGACCTCAGAGAGACGTGCTATTCTTAAAAAGCACTAATTCACACTTATGTCTAAAATGCAGAACTTTTCCAGATGTGATCCTAACTTCCACTGAACGCTCTGCGGACAAACGAAACTCAGAACGTCAGATTTCTGTTCGGCAACCTCTGTAGTCCATGGAGTATAAAAGACTACAATTCCCAGGGTGCCTCAGTCTTTAAGAGACTACGGGCTTCTTGTGTGGAGACGCACTAAATATATATAGAAAGCTAAGCTTGTTTATCCTTTTGTAATTCCTCTTGTAAAGGTGAGGGGATTATTTTAGTTTTGACTAACCAGTAGTCACAACGCCGAGTAAAACTGATCAAATGAAAGAGAACGTGTTGGACGTGTGTTTGAAAGTGGCTCGCTTTATATCAAATATAGTGAAAAATGGGTTGGTCAAAAATATTAGCCCCCATGTGAATTGTTGCTTTCAAACCACAGCTAATCAACCAATCAGCTTTCAAGCCACAGCTAATCAACCAATCAGCTTTCAAGCCACACCTAATCAACCAATCAGCTTTCAAACCACAGCTAACCAACCAACCAGCTTTCAAGCCACACCTAATCAACCAATCAGCTTTCAAGCCTCACCTGAGCATCCAATCAGCATAAAAGGACTCCAAGAAACAGGCTCTCTGATACCTTATAGAGAGGGACTATACACCTACTCACCATGCCAAGGTCAAAGGACATCAGTCTTGAGCTCAGAAAGAAGACAGTGGAGGCTCATGAGAAGGGGGAAGGCTATACTGCTATGTCCAAGCGCTTCACAGAGTCTAGAAGTGCTGCACGTTGCATCATGGAGAAGTACAAGGAGACACCTTCTGTAAGAAACAGACCTGAGCGTGGTCGAAAGCACAAGGTTTCAAGAACTCTGGAGAGGAAAACAGTCAGAGATGTCAGCAAGCATCCCCGGGCATCTGCCAAGATGATTGTTGCTGACCTGGCCTCTGCTGGAGTCGATGTTTCAAGGAACACAGTGGTGAGGGCTCTTCATCGTGGTGGGCTTCAGGCTCTTCATCGTGGTGGGCTTCAGGCCCATCGTCCCAGAAGAACCCCTTTACTCAAAGAGCGGCACATCAGAGCCAGACTGAGGTTTGCCCGTGAACATTTGAGAGGTAAAGATGAGTGTTGGAAGTCTGTGCTTTGGTCTGATGAGACTAAACTGGAACTGTTTGGGCACATGGATGTTGCTCATGTTTGGCGAAGAAAGGGAGAGGCCTTCAGCCCTAAGAACACATCATGCTGTGGGGCTGCAGCCTCACATCATGCTGTGGGGCTGCAGCCTCACATCATGCTGTGGGGCTGCAGCCTCACATCATGCTGTGGGGCTGCAGCCTGAGGCACAGGGAGCCTTGTTCAGGTGCAAGGCATCATGACAAATCAAAATGATGTTGACATTTTGAGGGATAATATGAACAAATCTGCTCTTGGTCTTCGCTTAGGTCGTCGCTGGGTCTTCCAACAAGACAATGACCCAAAGCACACATCAAACTTGGTCCAACAGTTCCTAAAGGACACCAGGACCAAGCCGCACAGAGCCCAGATCTGAATCCTATTGAGAATCAGGCGGGTGCTCAAAGTGAATGTCCATGCTCGGAAACCACGCAACTTGGACCAGCTGGAGCAATCTGATTGGTTGATTAGATGTGGTTTGAAAGCAACAATTCACATGGGGGCTAATATTTTTGACCAACCCATTTTTCACTATATTTGATATAAAGAAAGCCTAAAAACTTATTTTATTTCCCAAAATGTACCAAAAGCTACTAAGTAGCACTGGTGAATGTTTGATTATATCAAGTTTTATCAATGCTGGAAACATTGGGAAGAATTTTAGGAAAATGTTCCATAACTCCTGGAGGGCTAATCATTTAGGCCTCAACTGTATATCTATGAATGTTTCTGCATATAAACAACAACCTTATCTGAACATTAAGGACTGAAGGAGGTAGACATCTCTCACTAGCATCCTCGAAAATAAAGTTTCATTACAAATATCTGCAGACAGGAGTACGATAAGATGCATGTTCTCATTTTATAGATTTATAATAGTGCTAATCCTCTATTAACATCTTGCATGCTGTTGTTTTATCGAGCCAAACGACTGTCTCGTATCACCGCACAGAGGAAGCGTGCATCCAGACTTCCTCTGTGCGGTGATACGAGACAGAGAAAATAGTTCCTGCATGAAACCGATCACTACCAACTCTGATGGGATTTATTTCAAACGTGAAAAACAATAATAATAATAATGGGTTTTAAAGGTCTCCTATCATCCTCCTCTTCATCAATATATCACAGGTCTCAGATATATCCAGAGCCTGTCACTGATTGGCTGAAACGCCAAACAGATCATTGCAGCATTACCCATAATCCCCTCTGTTTCAGCCCTGTTTCCAAAGTGCTGATTCTCTGTCTGTTACTTTAGATGAAAATAAGGAGCCCCTCCCCACGCCCCTCTGAGAGAGATTTGGTAGATGAAGAAGAGACATGAAGAAGAGGGGACACATGTTGATGTAGAAGAGACATGAAGAAGAGGGGACACATGTTGATGTAGAAGAGACATGAAGAAGAGGGGACACATGTTGATGTAGAAGAGACATGAAGAAGAGGGGACACATGTTGATGTAGAAGAGACATGAAGAAGAGGGGACACATGTTGATGTAGAAGAGACATGAAGAAGAGGGGACACATGTTGATGTAGAAGAGACATGAAGAAGAGGGGACACGTGTTGATGTAGAAGAGACATGAAGAAGAGGGGACACGTGTTGATGTAGAAGAGACATGAAGAAGAGGGGACACGTGTTGATGTAGAAGAGACATGAAGAAGAGGGGACACGTGTTGATGAAGAAGAGACATGAAGAAGAGGGGACACGTGTTGATGTAGAAGAGACATGAAGAAGAGGGGACACGTGTTGATGTAGAAGAGACATGAAGAAGAGGGGACACGTGTTGATGTAGAAGAGACATGAAGAAGAGGGGACACGTGTTGATGTAGAAGAGACATGAAGAAGAGGGGACACGTGTTGATGAAGAAGAGACATGAAGAAGAGGGGACACAGTGTTGATGAAGAAGAGACATGAAGAAGAGGGGACACATGTTTGATGTAAGAAGAGACATGAAGAAGAGGGGACACGTGTTGATGTAGAAGAGACATGAAGAAGAGGGGACACGTGTTGATGAAGAAGAGACATGAAGAAGAGGGGACACATGTTGATGAAGAAGAGACATGAAGAAGAGGGGACACATGTTAATGAAGAAGAGACATGAAGAAGAGGGGACACATGTTGATGAAGAAGAGACATGAAGAAGAGGGGACACATGTTGATGAAGAAGAGACATGAAGAAGAGGGGACACATGTTGATGTAGAAGAGGGGACACATGTTGAGATGAAGAGACATGAAGAAGAGGGGACACATGTTGATGAAGAAGAGGGGACACATGTTGATGAAGAGGAGACATGAAGAAGAGGGGACACATGTTGATGAAGAAGAGGGGACACATGTTGATGAGAAGAAGAGACACATGTTGATGAAGAAGAGGGGACACATGTTGATGTAGAAGAGACATGAAGAAGAGGGGACACATGTTGATGAAGAAGAGACATGAAGAAGAGGGGACACATGTTGATGTAGAAGAGACATGAAGAAGAGGGGACACATGTTGATGAAGAGGAGACATGAAGAAGAGGGGACACATGTTGATGTAGGAGAGCATGAAGAAGGGGGACACATGTTGATGTAGAGAGACATGAAGAAGAGGGGACACATGTTGATGAAGAAGAGACATGAAGAAGGGGACACATGTTGATGAAGAGAGACATGAAGAAGAGGGGACACATGTTGATGAAGAGAGACATGAAGAAGAGGGGACACATGTTGATGAAGAAGAGACATGAAGAAGAGGGGACACATGTTGATGATAGGAGAGACATGAAGAAGAGGGGACACATGTTGATGTAAGAAGGAGACATGAAGAAGAGGGGACACATGTTGATTGAAGAAGAGACATGAAGAAGAGGGGACACATGTTGATGAAGAGGAGAGACATGAAGAAGAGGGGACACATGTTGATGTAAGAGGAGACATGAAGAAGAGGGGACACATGTTGATGTAGAAGAGACATGAAGAAGAGGGGAACACATGTTGATGTAGAAGAGAGACATGAAGAAGAGGGGACACATGTGATGAAGAAGAGACATGAGAGAAGAGGGGACACATGTGATTAGAAGGAGACATGAAGAAGAGGGGGACACATTTTGATGTAGAAGAGACATGAAGAAGAGGGGGGGACACATGTTGATGAAGAAGAGACATGAAGAAGAGGGGACACATGTTGATGAGAAGAGACATGAAGAAGAGGGGACACATGTTGATGTAGAAGAGACATGAAGAAGAGGGGGACACATGTTGATGTAGAAGAGACATGAAGAAGAGGGGACACATGTTGATGAAGAAGAGACATGAAGAAGAGGGGACACATGTTGATGAAGAAGAGACATGAAGAAGAGGGGACACATGTTGATGTAGAAGAGACATGAAGAAGAGGGGACACATGTTGATGAAGAAGAGACATGAAGAAGAGGGGACACATGTTGATGAGAAGAGACATGAAGAAGAGGGGACACATGTTGATGTAGAAGAGACATGAAGAAGAGGGGACACATGTGATGAGAAGAGACATGAAGAAGAGGGGACACATGTTGATGTAGAAGAGACATGAAGAAGAGGGGACACATGTTGATGTAGAAGAGACATGAGAAGAGGGAAGAGGGGACACATGTTGATGAAGAAGAGACATGAAGAAGAGGGGACACATGTTGATGTAGAAGAGACATGAAGAAGAGGGGACACATGTGATGAGAAGAGACATGAAGAAGAGGGGACACATGTTGATGTAGAAGACATGAAGAAGAGGGGACACATGTTGATGTAAAGATACATGAAGAAGAGGGGACACATGTTGATGTAGAAGGACATGAGACGAGGGTGGGACACATGTTGATGAAGAAGAGACATGAAGAAGAGGGGACACATGTTTGATGAAGAGAGAATGAAGAAGAGGGGACACATGGTGATGATGAAGAGACATGAAGAAGAGGGGACACATGTTGATGTAGAAGAGACTTGAAGAAGAGGGGACACATGTGATGTAGAAGAGACATGAAGAAGAGGGGACACATGTTGATGTAAGAAGAGACATGAAGAAGAGGGGACCCACGTTGATGTAGAAGAGCCATGAAGAAGAGGGGACACATGTTGATGTAGAAGAGACATGAAGAAGAGGGGACACATGTTGATGAAGAGAGAGACATGAAGAAGAGGGGACACATGTGATGTAGAAGAGACATGAAGAAGAGGGACACATGTTGATTGTAGAAGAGGACATGAAGAAGAGGGGGGACACATGTTGATGAAGAAGAGACATGAAGAAGAGGGGACACATGTTGATGAAGAAGGAGACATGAAGAAGAGGGGACACATGTTGATGTAGAAGAGACATGAAGAAGAGGGGACACATGTTGATGAAGAGGAGACATGAAGAAGAGGGGACACATGTTGATGTAGGAGAGACATGAAGAAGAGGGGACACATGTTGATGTAGAAGAGACATGAAGAAGAGGGGACACATGTTGATGAAGAGGAGACATGAAGAAGAGGGGACACATGTTGATGAAGAGGAGACATGAAGAAGAGGGGGACACATGTTGATGTAGGAGAGACATGAAGAAGAGGGGACACATGTTGATGTAGAAGAGACATGAAGAAGAGGGGACACATGTTGATGTAGAAGAGACATGAAGAAGAGGGGACACATGTTGATGTAGAAGAGACATGAAGAAGAGGGGACACATGTTGATGTAGAAGAGACATGAAGAAGAGGGGACACATGTTGATGTAGAAGAGACATGAAGAAGAGGGGACACATGTTGATGTAGAAGAGACATGAAGAAGAGGGGACACATGTTGATGTAGAAGAGACATGAAGAAGAGGGGACACATGTTGATGAAGAAGAGACATGAAGAAGAGGGGACACATGTTGATGAAGAAGAGACATGAAGAAGAGGGGACACATGTTGATGAAGAAGAGACATGAAGAAGTGGATTTTGAATAATAGGTGACCTTTCAAAGCGTCTGTCCTCAGACATTGAACACCTTACCTGAGTGAGGATGTAGTTCCTCTGCGCCTCCTCCACTGGGATCAGGCTGGCATTGATGTAGTTGTTGGTACCAAACTGTAGACATATTCTACTGTGGTCAACTGAGGAGGAGGAGGAGGAGGAGGAGGAGGAGGAGGAGGAGGAGGAAGGAGAAACATTCAAATGTGACTCTGTGTAACATGTCCAAACGTCAGGAGAATAAAGAGTCTTCTCAAAAACAGGTGTTTGCTTTTTAAACATGGAGATGATAACAGTTCCATCCCTGTGCTCCTCTCCTGCAGTGTGAGTGCATGTCAATGGTCTGCAAAGGCTGAACATACTAACATACACCTGCTGAACATACTAACATACACCTGCTGAACATCAGATACCTCTTCAAATGAGTTTCACACTCGACGGCACACAGAAGAGATTTGCATATTGACGGAGAGAAAAGAGGAAACCAGAGATCAGCTGCTGGATCGCTAACGTCCACACACTGAACTACAGTTATCACATAACACGTCAAACAGAGTCTGGAACTCACACGGGCTGACGTCTCTGTAACGGTTCCTGTTCTTGTTTTCAGGCAATTTGGCAACTTTACACGGCAGCTCACACGACTGCTGTCGGATCTCCTGAGACACAATGAAGACAACACAACATATTAACATTAGATTCACTGTGTGTGTGTGTGTGTGTGTGTGTGTGTGTGTGTGTGTGTGTGTGTGTGTGTGTGTGTGTGTGTGTGTGTGTGTGTGTGTGTGTGTGTGTCAACTGTTTTGAATAAACTGTGAAAATAGTATAATACCAGCTGAGTCACACTGAGCTGGTATTAAGGGTTATTTTTAGTAAGAGATATTGTAAAATAGGTTCATCTGAGGCCGTGTTTGAATACACATTTATATACAATAATGCATTTATATAATATTTAATAACATAGTAACAATGATCATTTAAACTAAGATTTTAAATACTGCACTTTTACTCAGGTAAAAAGTACAAATACTTTGTTAAAAGTAGTATTATCACAGGATTCAAAGTATTTTTTTATATTTATATACATTAATCCAGTGATATAATATATATAATAAGACAACTGCATGATGAGTACTAAGTGTTAAGTATATTTTAAGGCGTATATTACTTTCACTTCAAAGCATTAATACTAATAAAGCAGTTTGTTAGAAGGAGCAGAAGCAACAATGTAATAAATACTTAAAAAACATATACATCCACATTTTAAGTAACATTTTGAATGCTGGACTTTACTCAGTAAGAGTAAAGAGAGTATAATTACTTAGTGAAAGGAGTAATAATATATTTATTTACATACAATCATTCCAGTGTTATTACTACTTATACTAAAGCCTAAACTCTTCCAACACTAACTATATAAACATGTTTAATAATATATCACTGCATCAGATACAATGAATTAAATACTTTTATTATAATAAAACATTTAATGCAGACTTTTTGTGCATTAAATACATCCAGCAGCCTCTCTACCAGCCTCTCTACCGGCCTGTTTCCCCCTCTACTCCCCGCAGAAAGTGCTCCACTACCGGCCTGTTTCTCCCTCTACTCCCCGCAGAAAGTGCTCCATTACCGGCCTGTTTTCCCCCTCTTCTCCCCGGATAAGGAGCCCCACTACCGGGCTGTTTTCCCCCTCTTCTCCCCGGATAAGTAGTCTCTCTACCCGACTGTTTGCCCCTCTTCTCCCCGGATAAGTAGTCTCTCTACCGGGCTGTTTTCCCCTATTCGCCCCGCAGAAGGAGCCTCTTCTCCCCGCAGAAGGAGCTCCACTACCGGCCTGTTTCCCCCTCTTCTCCCCGGAGAAAGTGCCTCTTCTTCCCGCAGAAGCAGCCTCTCTACCGGCCTGTTTTCCCCTCTTCTCCCCGCAGAGACTCACCTGATAAACGGCGCTCCAGCTCCCGGTCTCATCGATCTCCCGGCACTCTGCCTCCATGTCAGTCCGTCTCCACAGCCTCTCCCCCCGGACTCAGGAGAACCGTAGCTCCCCGGTTCTTTTTACGGTTCTTTTTAAACAGTTTTCTCAGATTCTTACCGTGTTTCTCTCTCTCGTGTAACCGGAAACAGCCGCTGCTGTCCTCCAGGAAGGAAGTGCGCCAACGGTGAAGCAGATTTCCGTTTAGTGGCCAAACGGGGGAACTACAACTTATTCTTCTCTGACGTTTATTAGCTGTTGGGGACCAATGAAAAGAGCGCATTACCGCCCCCTGCTGGACTGGAGGGCGGAACATTTATTTTATTTTATTTTATTTTATTTATTTTATTTATTTTATTTATTTTATTTATTTTATTTATTTTATTTATTTTATTTATTTTATTTATTTTATTTATTTTATTCAATATCATACATTCTACATACAACAAAGTCCAGGGGCCCTCAAGCACGGTGGAGCATGTGTTGCGTCTGGTACGTGACGTCACGCTGCGTCACTCGCGTCTCCGTCCGGGCGGCGGCAGCGCGCACGCACAGTCACGTAATGTTCTGTTTACGTCTGTAGTGCAGTGACCCTGCTGCTGCTGCAAAACGAGCCATTGTACCTGCTTTAAAGCCGCACCTGGGGGGATGTGACTGGATATTTGAGATACTTGAGGGTGTGAGGAGTTCCAGAGTGACCTGTCAGAGTCACCATGGATTACCTGTAGTGTAAAGCTTCTCTCTGACTGACAGCAGGAGAGCTAGCAGGGCTCAGTTAGCTTTGGATCAGCTGTTCTGCACACAGGTATTATCCTCTGTGGTTGTTGTGTGTGTGTGTGTGTGTAGCTGCTGGATCTGTGTGTGTCTGCAGTGTGTAGTGTGTGTAGTGTGTGTAGCTGCTGATGGCTCATGTGTAGCTGCAGCTCTTACAGTCATTGCCTCCCAGCGGTGGAAACAGTTCTCAGATCCTTTAACGGTGAGTGGCTGCACAAACACATTCACTGCATTAAAGTCAAAACACTAGCATGCACTATATCACCCAAGGTGCACTTCATTTCAATCAGGAAGTATACAGGGGTGGGAAGTAACTACGTTCCTTTACTCTAGTGTTGTACGTTTGGTCCAATTTAAATAATATTGTTATATTTCTACTTGTTTGTGAGGAGACACAATTAGTATATCAAACATATGGTGAACTAATAATAACAACTACATGTCTGTGTGTAACCCTGTGTTTACATATAAGTCATTATTTGAATGTTGTGATTTAGACGAATCACCCAAATATAAAACTAGTATAACTTTAATACTCAGAGCTGCATGTTCAGAGGATGCAGTGATGAAGACTCTCTCCTCCTCCTCCTCTCTCAGGTTCCTGGAGCAGCCTGAGGTCGGGCGGCGCCTCCGGAGGAAACATGGCTCCCAAAGACATCATGACCAACTCTCACGCCAAATCCATCCTGAACGCCATGAACGCTCTGAGGAAGAGCAACACGCTGTGCGACATCACGCTGAGGGTGAACACCGCCGACTTCCCCGCGCACCGGATCGTCCTCGCAGCCTGCAGCGACTACTTCTGCGCCATGTTCACCAGCGAGGTAACGCTCAGAGAGGCTTAGAGTTAGCATCCAAAACTCCTCTGTTTACTTCCTGGAACATGGTGACATCACTATGGAACACTCGCGCTCCTATTGGCCATCTCTCCGACACATTGTAATTGTACGTGATAGGGTATAAGGGGCGGGACATCTCTTATGCTGCTCTTATGGTTCAACGTCAGTGACGGCAGGCTGAGATCCTCATCACTGATTGGCTAAGTGTGGTGTGTGTGTGTGTGTGTGTGTGTGTGTGTGTGTGTGTGTGTGTGTGTGTGTGTGTGTGTGTGTGTGTGTGTGTGTGTGTGTGTGTGTGTGTGTGTGTGTGTGTGTGTGTGTGTGTGTGTGTGTGTGTGTGTGTGTGTGTGTGTGTGTGTGTGTGTGTGTGTGTGTGTGTGTTGTGTGTGTGTGTGTGTGGGTGTGTGTGTGTGTGTGTGTGTGTGTGTGTGTGTGTGTGTGTGTGTGTGTGAGCTGGCAGAGAAGGGGAAGTCCTTCGTTGATATCCAGGGTCTGACAGCGTCTACGATGGAGATTCTTCTGGACTTCGTGTACACGGAGACGGTTCTGGTGACGGTGGAGAACGTTCAGGAGCTGCTGCCGGCCGCGTGCTTACTGCAGCTCAAAGGTGCGTTCAGGTGCATCCACTCAAAGGTGCGTTCAGGTGCATCCACTCAAAGGTGCGTTCAGGTGCATCCACTCAAAGGTGCTTCCAGGTGCATCCACTCAAAGGTGCGTTCAGGTGCATCCACTCAAAGGTGCGTTCAGGTGCATCCACTCAAAGGTGCGTTCAGGTGCATCCACTCAAAGGTGCGTTCAGGTGCATCCACTCAAAGGTGCGTTCAGGTGCATCCACTCAAAGGTGCGTTCAGGTGCATCCACTCAAAGGTGCTTTCAGGTGCATCCACTCAAAGGTGCGTTCAGGTGCATCCACTCAAAGGTGCGTTCAGGTGCATCCACTCAAAGGTGCGTTCAGGTGCATCCACTCAAACGCTGAGGAGAAAACAGTGAGGTCATGATGTTGTGAGGAAAGACAGAGAGTACCTGAGGGTCATCTGACTCTTTGAAAGGATTTCTATTCTACGTCCTCAAAGAAAGAGGTCTGTGAAGGTATAACACATGAAATAAAATCTAAGTTTTAAATATGATACCTTCTAAAATACCTCTTTTATTCCCCTAAGTGCTTAAAGTTTGGCAAATGCTTAATAATTAACCATAAAAACAGCTTGAATCTGAAAAAACTCTGAGTCAGGAAACAAACCCCTCTCTCTTTTCCTCCGTACCCACATCTCTAAAAACGGGGGAACAACGGAGCTGATCCAGATTTGCTGCGTCATGACCACATGACTAAAATGTGGGCGGGCTTTACACCCACGGGCCAATCAGAGACGTTGCTGTCAGAAACAATGAGACGTGTTCTGGAAGTGATATGGTCTGTGTTTACATTAGCATGCTAACACTCAGAGCTAACCTGTACTGGAGAGAGCGTGTGTGAAGAAGCAGGAAATCAAAAGGAAGTCACCTTGTGGTAAACCTGAGAGAGAGAAAGAGTTTGAGCTCCATACTGTTTCAGAGAGAATCCTTCATGTGGTTTGGAACATGATATGGAGTTTAGTCACGGCAGCATTTAGCTGAGTTTCTGCTGGGAGAGTTCTCCTGATGAGATCTACTCTCTCTCTGAAGCTACTGACCCAGAGTCAGCTCTTTAGTAACAGCTGGGAGAGAGGGGGGGGGGGGGGCTACAAGGATCTGTTTGGGGTTTGGAGCAGGACACTTCAGAGACATGTCCTTAGTAACAGCTGGAAGGGGGGGGGGGGGGGGCTACAAGGATCTGTTTGGGGTTTGGAGCAGGACACTTCAGAGACATGTCCTTAGTAACAGCTGGAAGAGAGGGGGGGGGGGGCTACAAGGATCTGTTTGGGGTTTGGAGCAGGACACTTCAGAGACATGTCCTTAGTAACAGCTGGAAGAGAGAGGGGGGGGGGCTACAAGGATCTGTTTGGGGTTTGGAGCAGGACACTTCAGAGACATGTCCTTAGTAACAGCTGGAAGAGAGGGGGGGGGGGGCTACAAGGATCTGTTTGGGGTTTGGAGCAGGACCCTTCAGAGACATGTCTTTAGTAACAGCTGGAAGAGAGGGGGGGGGGGGGCTACAAGGATCTGTTAGGGGTTTGGAGCAGGACCCTTCAGAGACATGTCCTTAGTAACAGCTGGAAGAGAGGGGGGGGGCTACAAGGATCTGTTTGGGGTTTGGAGCAGGACACTTCAGAGACATGTCCTTAGTAACAGCTGGAAGAGAGAGGGGGGGGGCTACAAGGATCTGTTTGGGGTTTGGAGCAGGACACTTCAGAGACATGTCCTTAGTAACAGCTGGAAGAGAGGGGGGGGGGGGCTACAAGGATCTGTTTGGGGTTTGGAGCAGGACACTTCAGAGACATGTCCTTAGTAACAGCTGGAAGAGAGGGGGGGGGGGGGGCTACAAGGGTCTGTTTGGGGTTTGGAGCAGGACACTTCAGAGACATGTCCTTAGTAACAGCTGGAAGAGAGGGGGGGGGGCTACAAGGATCTGTTTGGGGTTTGGAGCAGGACACTTCAGAGACATGTCCTTAGTAACAGCTGGAAGAGAGGGGGGGGGGGGGGGGCTACAAGGATCTGTTTGGGGTTTGGAGCAGGACACTTCAGAGACATGTCCTTAGTAACAGCTGGAAGAGAGGGGGGGGGGCTACAAGGATCTGTTTGGGGTTTGGAGCAGGACACTTCAGAGACATGTCCTTAGTAACAGCTGGAAGAGAGGGGGGGGGGCTACAAGGATCTGTTTGGGGTTTGGAGCAGGACACTTCAGAGACATGTCCTTAGTAACAGCTGGAAGAGAGGGGGGGGGGGGGCTACAAGGATCTGTTTGGGGTTTGGAGCAGGACACTTCAGAGACATGTCCTTAGTAACAGCTGGAAGAGAGGGGGGGGGGGGGGCTACAAGGATCTGTTTGGGGTTTGGAGCAGGACACTTCAGAGACATGTCCTTAGTAACAGCTGGAAGAGAGGGGGGGGGGGGGGGCTACTAGGATCTGTTTGGGGTTTGGAGCAGGACACTTCAGAGACATGTCCTTAGTAACAGCTGGAAGAGAGGGGGGGGGGGGGGCTACAAGGATCTGTTTGGGGTTTGGAGCAGGACACTTCAGAGACATGTCCTTAGTAACAGCTGGAAGAGAGGGGGGGGGGGGGGGCTACTAGGATCTGTTTGGGGTTTGGAGCAGGACACTTCAGAGACATGTCCTTAGTAACAGCTGGAAGAGAGGGGGGGGGGGGCTACAAGGATCTGTTTGGGGTTTGGAGCAGGACACTTCAGAGACATGTCCTTAGTAACAGCTGGAAGAGAGGGGGGGGGGGGCTACAAGGATCTGTTTGGGGTTTGCAGCAGGACACTTCAGAGACATGTCCTTAGTAACAGCTGGGAGAGAGGGGGGGGGGCTACAAGGATCTGTTTGGGGTTTGGAGCAGGACACTTCAGAGACATGTCCTTAGTAACAGCTGGGAGAGAGGGGGGGGGGGGGCTACAAGGATCTGTTTGGGGTTAGGAGCAGGACACTTCAGAGACATGTCCTTAGTAACAGCTGGAAGAGAGGGGGGGGGGGGGGCTACTAGGATCTGTTTGGGGTTAGGAGCAGGACACTTCAGAGACATGTCCTTATATATTTGTATATATCTGAGAGCTGTAATATGGGCCTAAAGCAGTAGTATAGAGACCTTTAACTCATGTTCCCCTCTGCTTCCTCAGGAGTGAAGCGCGCCTGCTGTGACTTCCTGGAGGGGCAGCTGGACCCCACAAACTGCCTCGGGATCCGGGACTTTGCAGAGACTCACAACTGTCTGGATCTGATGCAGGCGGCTGAACTCTTCTCCCAGAAACACTTCTCAGAGGTCGTCCAGCACGAAGAGTTCATGCTGCTCTGCCAGGCCGAGGTGGAGAAGCTCATCAAGTGCGACGAGATACAGGTGAGGAAACACGAGAGGAAACACGAGATACAGGTGAGGAAACACGAGATACAGGTGAGGAAACACGAGATACAGGTGAGAAAACACGAGAGGAAACACGAGATACAGGTGAGGAAACACGAGAGGAAACACGAGATACAGGTGAGGAAACACGAGATACAGGTGAGGAAACACGAGAGGAAACACGAGATACAGGTGAGGAAACACGAGATACAGGTGAGAAAACACGAGAGGAAACACGAGATACAGGTGAGGAAACACGAGAGGAAACACGAGATACAGGTGAGGAAACACGAGAGGAAACACGAGAGGAAACGAGGGGTTACGTATGGTAACCCTTGTTATATCTCTCACAGGCTCCGCCCTCTACTGGACTCTATGGGTACTCCCCTCGATCCTATCATGCAAGCATTCATCCACTGAGACTTTCTAGACGTAGCCGGCCCCTGGGCGGGCCTACCTGAATGCGCGCGCATCTCACCGCATAAAAGGAGGCCTCGCCTCCTGACTGTCATCCCTTTCTCTTCAGCAAGCAGCATAGGACAGACAGGGCCCCTGAGTAGAGGGCCCCTGAGTAGAGGGCGGAGCCTGTGTTTATATAACGAGGGGTTACCATACGTAACCCCTCGTTATATAAACACAGGCTCGATGTATACAAGCGCTGGCGTCCCACAACAACACTGTTCCACTTCACTGTTTCTGACCGGCTTCCTGGTTAGCAGCCGCTGCGCCTCACTCGCCTCTCCCTCGCCTCTCACTCGCCTCTCACTCGCCTCTCACTCGCCTCTCCCTCGCCTCTCACTCGCCTCTCACTCGCCTCTCACTCGCCTCTCACTCGCCTCTCACTCGCCTCTCACTCGCCTCTCCCTCGCCTCTCCCTCGCCTCTCCCTCGCCTCTCACTCGCCTCTCACTCACCTCTCACTCGCCTCTCACTCGCCTCTCACTCGCCTCTCCCTCGCCTCTCACTCGCCTCTCACTCGCCTCTCACTCGCCTCTCCCTCGCCTCTCCCTCGCCTCTCACTCACCTCTCACTCGCCTCTCACTCGCCTCTCCCTCGCCTCTCCCTCGCCTCTCACTCGCCTCTCACTCGCCTCTCCCTCGCCTCCCACTCGCCTCTCCCTCGCCTCTCCCTCGCCTCTCACTCGCCTCTCCCTCGCCTCTCCCTCGCCTCTCCCTCGGCCGTAACCATGGAGAGAAAAGAGGCTGCGGCTGACAGAGCACACCCTGATGCGCTTACCCCTGCTATGACGTCACTGCCTTGCTGAAGAGAAAGGGATGACAGTCAGGAGGCGAGGCCTCCTTTTATGCGGTGAGATGCCCGCGCATTCAGGTAGGCCCGCCCAGGGGCCGGCTACGTCTAGAAAGTCTCAGTGGATGAATGCTTGCATGATAGGATCGAGGGGAGTACCCATAGAGTCCAGTAGAGGGCGGAGCCTGTGAGAGATATAACAAGGGTACAGGTGATAGAGAGGAGAAAACAGGAGGTACAGGTGATAGAGAGGAGAGAACAGGAGGTACAGGTGATAGAGAGGAGAAAACAGGAGGTACAGGTGATAGAGAGGAGAGAACAGGAGGTACAGGTGATAGAGAGGAGAGAACAGGAGGTACAGGTGATAGAGAGGAGAGAACAGGAGGTACAGGTGATAGAGAGGAGAAAACAGGAGTGTATTAATATGTGTATTATACCCTGTAAACCCCCCTGTCCCTCAGAGTGTGTATTAATATGTGTATTATACCCTGTAAACCCCCCTGTCCCTCAGAGTGTGTATTAATATGTGTATTATACCCGGTAAACCCCCCTGTCCCTCAGGTGTGTATTAATAGTGTATTAATATGTGTATTATACCCTGTAAACCCCCCCTGTCCCTCAGAGTGTGTATTAATATGTGTATTATACCCGGTAAACCCCCCTGTCCCTCAGAGTGTGTATTAATATGTGTATTATACCCGGTAAACCCCCCTGTCCCTCAGAGTGTGTATTAATATGTGTATTATACCCGGTAAACCCCCCTGTCCCTCAGAGTGTGTTTTAATATGTGTATTATACCCGGTAAACCCCCCCTCGTCCCTCAGAGTGTGTATTAAATATGTGTATTATACCCGGTAAACCCCCCTGTCCCTCAGAGTGTGTATTAATGTGTGTATTATACCCGGTAAACCCCCCTGTCCCTCAGAGTGTGTATTAATATGTGTATTATACCCGGTAAACCCCCCTGTCCCTCAGAGTGTGTATTAATATGTGTATTATAAAACCCCCCTGTCCCCTCAGAGTGTGTTTAATGGTGTGTATACCCGGTAAACCCCCCTTGTCCCTCAGAGTGTGTATTAATATGTGTATTATACCCGGCAACCCACCCTGTCCCTCAGAGTGTGTATAATATGTGTATTATACCCGGTAAACCCCCCTGTCCCTCAGAGTGTGTATTAATATGTGTATTATACCCGGTAAACCCCCCTGTCCCTCAGAGTGTGTATTAATATGTGTATTATACCCTGTAAACCCCCCTGTCCCTCAGAGTGTGTATTAATATGTGTATTATACCCTGTAAACCCCCCTGTCCCTCAGAGTGTGTATTAATATGTGTATTATACCCTAACCCCCCTGTCCCTCAGAGTGTGTATTAATATGGTGTATATACCCTGTAAACCCCCCTGTCCCTCAGAGTGTGTATTAATATGTGTTATACCCGGTAAACCCCCCTGTCCCTCAGAGTGTGTATTAATATGTGTATTATACCCTAACCCCCCTGTCCCTCAGAGTGTGTATTAATATGTGTATTATACCCTGTAAACCCCCTGTCCCTCAGAGTGTGTATTAATATGTGTATTATACCCTGTAAACCCCCCCTGTCCCTCAGAGTGTGTATTAATATGTGTATGATACCCTAACCCCCCTGTCCCTCAGAGTGTGTATTAATATGTGTATGATACCCTAACCCCCCTGTCCCTCAGAGTGTGTATTAATATGTGTATGATACCCTAACCCCCCTGTCCCTCAGAGTGTGTATTAATATGTGTATGATACCCTAACCCCCCTGTCCCTGCGCAGGTGGACTCTGAGGAGCCGGTGTTCGAGGCCGTGCTGAACTGGGTGAAACACAACAGAAAGGACCGCGAGGCGTTCCTCTCCGAGATGCTGGAGTTCGTGCGGCTGCCTCTGCTGACGCCGCGATACATCACCGACGTGATCGACCCCGAGGTGAGGCTCTCGTCCAATCACACGCTCTCGTCCAATCACACGCTCTCGTCCAATCACACGCTCTCGTCCAATCACACGCTCCAAACTCTGATTAAGGCCCAATAGGCTCTCGTCCCAAATGTAAGGCGCCTTTCAGACACCGTACAATTTGTTAAATATTCTAAGAGGTAAAAGCAACAAGTGTGCGACAACAAGCTGCGAGTGAGACTTCAGACGGAGGGGGAGTGCGTAGGGTTTGGTTTGGAATTGGGCCTAAATCCCCCCCCCCCACTGTTCCCACTGTATAGCTCTCTCTTTCTGACTGGTTTCAGCCTCTGATCTCTCTCTTATGGCGCATTTCCACTACACGGCCTCGCTCGGTATGGCTAGGCCTCGTTAGGCCCGGCTCACTTTATGGCGCATTCCCATTACAGTTTAGGAACTGGGGCAGTAACTATAGTAACGCAGTGTAGGCGGAGCCGTGACGTCATCTTCAATGAGAACCCCAGAAAAACAACACAGCCGTTAGCTGTTAGCACTCAGAGCTCACAGCTCCTCATATCTGTTCAGAAACTAGACAAAAGTGAAACAAGTACAAACCACAGACTGCCTGTGTCATGGTGAATACAGTCGCTGCTTTATTTATGTCTGTATAGGCCGTTGTTGCGAGTGTGGACGGTCGGAGCATATACTGCGTTAGCTTAGCCAATCTCCATTTAGAAAACACGCATTTTAAAAGGTGTTTCCCCTGCCGTCTGTCTGCAGACTTGACAAAGCATTAATTCATGGTTTTTACTAACCGGTATCAGTATGTTGTTACTTCATCATTTAGAAACGTGTATTACAATTAAATCACGGTCAAATATGTCCATCTTGTTGTAGTTGTAGCCCCCTTGCCAGCGCTCCTCTCTCTAGTTTAGCATACTCAGCCCGACTCAGCCCTGTTTGTTGGCCCCGATAGAACCACAATTTTATGGGGCCAGAAAAACTGTGAAATAGTACCCGCTAGCCAGAACTAGGCCAAGTGGAAACGCAACCAAAGACGGGCCCTGCACGGCTCTGCACGCTTAAAGTGAGCTCCGCGCTGCAGTGGAAATGCGCCATTACCGTCTGTTTCACCCTCTGATCTCTCTCTCTCTCTCTTACCGTCTGTTTCACCCTCTGATCTCTCTCTCTCTTACCGTCTGTTTCACCCTCTGATCTCTCTCTCTCTCTCTTACCGTCTGTTTCACCCTCTGATCTCTCTCTCTCTCTTACCGTCTGTTTCACCCTCTGATCTCTCTCTCTCTCTTACCGTCTGTTTCACCCTCTGATCTCTCTCTCTCTTACCGTCTGTTTCACCCTCTGATCTCTCTCTCTCTTACCGTCTGTTTCACCCTCTGATCTCTCTCTCTCTTACCGTCTGTTTCACCCTCTGATCTCTCTCTCTTACCGTCTGTTTCACCCTCTGATCTCTCTCTCTCTCTTACCGTCTGTTTCACCCTCTGACCCTCTCTCTCTCACACACCCTCTGACCCTCTCTCTCTCTCTCTCTCTCACACCCTCTGACCCCCTCTCTCTCTCTCTCACACCCTCTGACCCTCTCTTTCTCTCTCTCTCTCTCTCACACCCTCTGACCCTCTCTCTCTCTCTCTCACACACCCTCTGACCCTCTCTCTCTCTCACACACCCTCTGACCCCCTCTCTCTCTCTCTCTCACACCCTCTGACCCCCTCTCTCTCTCTCTCTCTCTCACACCCTCTGACCCTCTCTCTCTCTCTCTCTCTCACACCCTCTGACCCTCTCTCTCTCTCTCTCACACACCCTCTGACCCTCTCTCTCTCTCACACACCCTCTGACCCCCTCTCTCTCTCTCTCTCTCTCTCACACACCCTCTGATCTCTCTCTCTCTCTCTCAGCCCCTGGTCCGATGCAGCTTGCCCTGCAGAGACCTGGTGGACGAGGCTAAGAAGTTCCACCTGAGGCCGGAGCTGAGGAGCGAGATGCAGGGCCCCAGGACGCAGGCCAGGCTCGGTGGGAAACACACTCTCATTACTCATTATATACTATTTGATATTATTTTATTTTATTAGTATTTTTTTAATTATTTTTGTTAAAAATTATATATAAAAAAAATGGTATTGATATATATATTTATTTATTATTTTATTTATATATATTTTTTATATTATATTTTCATTCATTTTATTATATTTTAGTTTAGTTTTTACACATTTAAATGAAAAGTCTTATATTATACGTTTCTAATGGATTTATTTTTATTATGTACTATCGTTTTGTATTTATCTTAGAATGACTATTATCACAAAAATAAATCTGATGAAACTTTGATTTGAGAAGTGAAGCCACTAAATATGAAACGTGTAAAGCTGTTTCCAGATATGTGAATACAGATGGATCATTATCCCTCCCTCCCTCCTCCCCCCCCCCCCCCTCCCCTGTAACGTTCTCTGATGGTTCCTGGTTCCTCTCCAGGAGCCAAAGAGGTTCTCCTAGTGATCGGAGGGTTCGGCAGCCAGCAGTCGCCCATCGACATCGTGGAGAAATACGACCCCAAGACTAAGGAGTGGACCTCTCTACCTGTGAGTTCAAACACACCTGCAACCACTTTGCTTTCTACCTCAGGGATTACAAATATAACTAGAGAATGCAATTCCTGAAGAAATTGCTAGTGGGAATGCTTTATGCTGAAAAGTAATGTGTAAGAAGAAAGTGAAGAATTTAGATTGAAATGATACATGAACACTGGGGGCTTGAATGTGTGATGAGAGAAGAAAAGAGAGTAAAAAGGCTTGGAAAAGCAGCAGAATATTTGAACTGCAAACCTTTGAACTAACATGATGGCGAATGATCTGTCGCCATGCCAACGGCATTTGATGACGTCCCATAATACGCTTAGATGCGTTGATGGCTGCACCGTTACCAAACCTGTGAAGTTTTGGGCCGTTTGGAACATTTTCACTGAAGTTATGAGGAAACCGTGTTTCATGGCGAGCCTTGTGTTACCATGGCAACGGCATTTGAAGAAATCTCAAAACTGTCCCATAGATGTCTTCACGGCTGGACTGTCTCTTAATGGCCCTCTCTCTCTTCTCTTGATCGCCCTCTCTCTCTTCTCTTGATCACCCTCTCTCTCTTCTCTTGATCTTCCATGGAAACGCATCAGAAGGATGCGTTTCCATCCGAGGGATGCGTTTCCATGGAAACGGCATATGATGACACCCCATAATTGACGTAGAGCTGTTGAGGGCAGGACCATTAACCATTATCTGAATCAGTATGATCAGTTGAATACTGGATTCTGATTGGTCAATTCAGAACACGTGACACATTGTTAATCCAGTAGTACAGACCGCTGTCAAGGACTTATTGACCGTTGTTAAGGACTTATTGACCGTTGTTAAGGACTTATTGACCGTTGTTAAGGACGCTCACATCTGCAGAAAGAAGTCCGGTCGATTTAACTGTATACAGTTTGGCCGAAAAGCTTTTCAAACAGTTTGCTTGTCTTTAGTTTCCCATTGTCTCCCGTCTGAGAGCAACATGGAGGATTTTAATATTAATTTTAATATATTTGGAGAGCACAGTAGTCTGGATGAATGGTTAGTGGCTGATGAGTCCCCAGTGAAGAAAAGAAAAAGACAAGAAAACAGTGGAGAAGTAAGAGAGGCGAAAAGACGGACCACATTATGGGCTATGGAACTATTTAAAGACTGGCTGATCAGTAACGGGGCAGAGACCCTCAACACGTAACGGTCCAGACATCAAACGGCGACACATATTCAGTGTGCAGTTCCTTTGGCATTAGGGCAGGGATATCTAGATCCTTCCCAAGGTTTGACATCATGAAGTGTACTTTTAAAGCAAGCTACGATGTTTTCAATCTGTAATCAAAAAGCTCCACAAAAACGCTATCGAAGCAGTTCCTGACGTTGCTACGTAGTTCAAACGCTAACAACGGACTATTTTTGTCATTTTAAATCAATAAAAACATTTTCTAAATCAATAAAAGCATTTCAATTAATATTGGGAGTCATGTCGTTACCGCCTCGCTGCACATTATCCCTTTCATAAAATCCTATAGATAATATATATATCAAGGTATGATAGATACCATAATAAATAAGTTATATTAAAGCTTGGATGGATTTATATAAACACGTCGTCTAATCGATGATTCGTGGCAGCAGCAGATGTTTTTTTGAGCTAACCCTGTCCATGGACGCGGGAAGTGGGGGTGCTGAGGGGGCTGCAGCACCCCCATCTGTTGGCGGAGAGTTGTAACTGCGACGCCAAACGCAGTCTCCACTAGCACCCCCAAACGCGGCACACCTACAGTGTAAGCGCGCCACAGTTTCGCCGCAGAGAGGCTCCACTAGCACCCCCCCCCCCGCACCCCCAACTCTGACTGACTTCCCGCATCCGTGACCCTGTCTGTAGTTTTGGACAGAACATTGCCCCGTAAGCGATGCTACGTGGCGACGGTTTCTCTCCACGACCGGGTGATAAGAAATCCGATAAATAATAGATATATCAAGGTTTGATAGATACTATAATAAAATAGGATTTAGAGTGATATTAAAGCTTATTGCAAGACGGTCTAAAATCTCAGACCAATGAATCCCTTGTTGTTACTCTCCCTCCTCAACTAGGGGGACAGAGGGAAGGAACAAAACATGAAAATAACCGGGAGAGAGAAAAAAGAGAGAGGAAACTGATTTGTCAAAATGAGTAGATAATGTTTAATTGTGACGTGTGACGTGTGCAGCATGTGTAGTGCGGTGTCTCTGTGAGACCTGCGTGTTGAACTTGTGTTTGTTCGTTGGAAGGAGATGTGCTCCAGTTTATCTTTGTGTATCGCTAAGTTTACCTTAAGTTTGCTTTGTAACTTGGCTGCGGAGCCTTTCTTCCTTTTCAAACAATTCAACATTATCTACTGATTTTCCCAAATCAGTTTCCTCTCCTTTTTCTCTCTCCCGGTTCTTTCCATATGTTGTCCCTTCCCTCTGTGCGCCTAGTTGAGTGTCCCTTCCCTCTGTACGCCTAGTTGAGTGTCCCTTCCCTCTGTACGCCTAGTTGAGTGTCCCTTCCCTCTGTGCGCCTAGTTGTCCCTTCCCTCTGTGCGCCTAGTTGAGTGTCCCTTCCCTCTGTGCGCCTAGTTGAGTGTCCCTTCCCTCTGTGTGCCTAGTTGAGTGTCCCTTCCCTCTGTACGCCTAGTTGTCCCTTCCCTCTGTACGCCTAGTTGAGTGTCCCTTCCCTCTGTACGCCTAGTTGAGTGTCCCTTCCCTCTGTGCGCCTAGTTGTCCCTTCCCTCTGTGCGCCTAGTTGTCCCTTCCCTCTGTGCGCCTAGTTGTCCCTTCCCTCTGTGCGCCTAGTTGTCCCTTCCCTCTGTGCGCCTAGTTGAGTGTCCCTTCCCTCTGTACGCCTAGTTGAGTGTCCCTTCCCTCTGTGCGCCTAGTTGAGTGTCCCTTCCCTCTGTACGCCTAGTTGAGTGTCCCTTCCCTCTGTGCGCCTAGTTGAGTGTCCCTTCCCTCTGTGCGCCTAGTTGAGTGTCCCTTCCCTCTGTACGCCTAGTTGAGTGTCCCTTCCCTCTGTACGCCTAGTTGAGTGTCCCTTCCCTCTGTGCGCCTAGTTGAGTGTCCCTTCCCTCTGTACGCCTAGTTGAGTGTCCCTTCCCTCTGTGCGCCTAGTTGTCCCTTCCCTCTGTGCGCCTAGTTGAGTGTCCCTTCCCTCTGTGCGCCTAGTTGTCCCTTCCCTCTGTGTGCCTAGTTGAGTGTCCCTTCCCTCTGTGCGCCTAGTTGTCCCTTCCCTCTGTGTGCCTAGTTGAGTGTCCCTTCCCTCTGTGCGCCTAGTTGTCCCTTCCCTCTGTGTGCCTAGTTGAGTGTCCCTTCCCTCTGTGCGCCTAGTTGTCCCTTCCCTCTGTGCGCCTAGTTGTCCCTTCCCTCTGTACGCCTAGTTGAGTGTCCCTTCCCTCTGTGCGCCTAGTTGAGGAAGGAACACTTGTTAATTATCTTTCTGTCGTCTAATCAATGTTTTTTTTCATTCGTGTTTTTGGACAGAACATCGCCCGAAAGCGGCGCTACGTGGCGACGGTTTCTCTCCACGACCGGGTGTACGTGATCGGAGGCTACGACGGGCGCTCGCGGCTCAGCTCGGTGGAGTGTCTGGACTACACGGCGGACGAGGACGGCGTCTGGTACACCGTCGCCACCATGAACGTCCGGCGGGGCCTCGCGGGGGCCACCACCCTCGGAGGTGAGGGGGACTATCTTCAGAGAGTTGACAGTATTATAATTGATCTTGAAAACATGGTGTACAAAGCTCGGAGTGATCCGGGACCCTCTCATATCACTGATTTAAAAGCATTAGTTGTTTTCTTTTTCTCTTTTGTATTTAATTTGTAAAATGTTGCTTGGTTTTATCAATTTATTCTATTTTTGTCATTTTATTTAATGTGTATAAAAGCTGCTATACATTCTTTGGTATCCACTATTATTTTAGTATTTTTCTTACTTTTACTTTTTTTTTTAAAGTAATACTTAACTTCTTGATCATTTTATCGAATTTATTCTTTTGCCTATTTTACCTTTTTGAAACCTTATATTTGATTATTATTATAATTGTTGTTGTTGTTGTTGTTTCTCTCTTCAGATATGATTTATGTGGCTGGAGGTTTTGACGGCAGCCGGCGTCACACCAGCATGGAGCGCTACGACCCGAACATCGACCAGTGGAGCATGCTGGGAGATATGCAGACGGCCCGCGAGGGGGCGGGGCTTGTGGTCGCCAGCGGACTCATCTACTGCCTCGGTACAGAGCTTTCATTATACATTTTATTTATATAATAATAATAATTATAGCGGCAAAGCTCCCTTTGAGTTCTGCCGCTGAGAGGCTCAAACGTTCTCTGTGACGCGCTCCATACAAGAGGCCGTAGTCTGATAGAGTTCATGCTGTTTAGAAAAGAAACAAAACTAATCATTTTTAACGTACATGGAAAGTTTGAAACGGTACTCTTCCCTAACGGTGCGTCCACACGGCAGCGTGCGTTGAAGCTTGCCGGTGGGCGTGTCTGGCGTGCGACCAACAACCAATCACATTAATCTCCCGCCCCGGACACACAAGCACGCGGTTTGATTGGCTAGAGCTTGTTCTGGCATACGATTTGATTGGCTGCCGCTTCCGTCGAAGCTTGGTTGTTATTTTGTTTAGTTTTTTTGCGCTGTGATTTCAACCATTTGTTTGTCTATCAAATGTTTTTTTTGTTTTTTTCTGTATGTGTTGTTTAAGAAAAATGAAAATACAGTTAAAATAAAATGTAAAAAAACCAAACAGAACAAACAATATTCAAGTCCGGACACACGGTCAACAGAAAGTATCTGAGCACCCTCTCCTCTACGTCATCCAGCAGGTGACCTAAACACCAATACAACAGAACAAACAAACAAAAAGGGCAAATAATAAAGTGAAAATGCAATAAATAGCAATTATTATTATTATTATAATTATTAAAAGGATTCTGATTGTTTGTGTTAGAATCCTGAACGTCCTCCTCCAACATGAGAGTAACATGATAACAAAGGTATCCCAACTGTAGCTGTGAACATGACAGGATGTATGATTACCTAGAAGAGCATCAGGACTGTTTGAGGCATATGATAGCTATGTGATTAACATGATGATTCTATGGAGAGAGACATATGACAAGCATGCTCATTTCTGACGTGGAGCTAATCTGAAGTAAACATTGAATACTGCTTTCTATTCCTCCATCTTGTGACTGTGTAACTCCCTCTCTTGGATATCAGCATGTGAAGGACACTGTTCAGGAACTAGTTGATGCTCTGTATGTGATGACTCCTTCCATTCTGGAGAGGATCACAGATACATGGATCCTGAGATTGAAGCTCAAGCCGGAGACCAGGGAGAGTTCTCTAACAGTTTGATCCTCTGTTTCCTGTCAGGAGGGTACGACGGTCTGAACATCCTGAACTCGGTGGAGCGGTACGACCCGCACACCGGACACTGGACCAGCGTCACCCCCATGGCCACCAAGCGCTCAGGTAGGGTGTGTGGGTGTGTGTGTGTGTGTGTGTGTGTGTGTGTGTGTGTGTGTGTGTGTGTGTGTGTGTGTGTGTGTGTGTGTGTGTGTGTGTGTGTGTGTGTGTGTGTGTGTGTGTGTGTGTGTGTGTGTGTGTGTGTGTGTGTGTGTGTGTGTGTGTGTGGTGTGTGTGTGTGTGTGTGTGTGTGTGTGTGTGTGTGGTGTGTGTGTGTGTGTGTGTGTGTGTGTGTGTGTGTGTGTGTGTGTGTGTGTGTGTGTGTGTGTGTGTGTGTGTGTGTGTGTGTGTGTGTGTGTGTGTGTGTGTGTGTGTGTGTGTGTGTGTGTGTGTGTGTGTGTCTTATGGCGCATTTCCACTGCAGGACCTAGCCCGGCTTAGTACGGTATGGTTAGGCCTTGGTGGGCCAGGCTCACTTTATGCTGCGTTTCCATTACAGTGTAGTACCTGGAGCAGTAACTATAGTAACGCAGTGTAGGCGGAGCGATCGGCTGTTCGTCGGGCGGAGCGACGCTGCATAAAACTGCCGTGACGTCATCTTCAATGCGAACCACAAAGCCAAAACATCTATTAGCCCTCAGAGCTCACAGCTCCTCATATATGTTCAGAAACTAGACAAAAGTTAAACAAGTACAAACCACAGACTGCCTGTGTCATGGTGAATACAGTCGCTGCTTTATTTATGTCTGTATAGGCCGTTGTTGTGAGTGTGGATGGTCGGAGCATATACTGCGTTAGCTTAGCCAATCTCCATTTAGAAAACACGCATTTTAAAAGGTTTTTCGCCTGCCGTCTGTCTGCAGACTTGACAAAGCATTAATTCATGGTTTTTACTAACCGGTATCAGTATGTTGTTACTTCATCATTTAGAAACGTGTATTACAATTAAATCACGGTCAAATATGTCCATCTTGTTGTAGTTGTAGCCCCCTTGCCAGCAATTCTCTCTGACCAATCAGCAGTCGAGTGTTCACGTCACTAGTGTAGCATATTCAGCCCGGTTGTTGGCCCGCTAAGAACCTCGATTTTGGAGGGCCAGAAAAAAGGTGAGAAAGTCGCTCTGAGCCGGAACTAGCCCGAGTGGAAAAGCAAAAGAAAACGTGCTACGTGCTGCAGTGGAAAAGCGCCATTTGTTTCTGTTTATGAGACTCTTAGTCAAAGTCAAAAAGTCAACTTTATTGTCAATCTTTCAGTTTGTGTGTCCAGACAGAGAGATCGAAATACTGCTTCCCACAATCCAGAATACAAAAACAAATATATATAAAAATATGTATAAAAAATGTGTAATATACCTATATCAATCTTCCTGCCTCATCCAGGCGCCGGCGTGGCGTTGCTGAACGACCACATCTACGTGGTGGGGGGGTTTGATGGCGTCTCCCACCTGGACTCTGTGGAGGTTTATAACATCCGGACGGACTACTGGGCGACGGTCGCTTGCATGACGACGCCGCGATGCTACGTGGGAGCGACGGTGCTGCGAGGACGACTCTACGCCATCGCAGGGTGAGGAGGCACACGAGGCACAATTGGGGGAAAAGTCATAATTATGAGAAAACGTAAAAATTATGAGAAAGTCAACATTCAATCTAAAGATTCTAAGAAAAGTGAGAATTCTGAGAAAATGTCAAAAATCTGGGAAAATTCTGAGAAAAAATAAAAAATTCTGTGAAAAAAGAAAAAATTCTGTGAAAAAAACAGAATTCTTAGAAAAGTCAAAATTCTGAAAATTCTGTGAAAAGCCAAAATTCTGAGAAAAGGGAGAATTGTTAGAAAAAGTCAAAATTCTGGAAAGAAAACAGAATTCCAAGAAAAAGTAGAAAATCTGAGAAAAGTACACATTCTTAGAAAAAGTCTAAAAGTTTTAAATTCTGTGAAAAGCCAAAATTCTGTGAAAAGGGAGAATTGTTAGAAAAAGTCAAAATTCTGGAAAGAAAACAGAATTCCAAGAAAAAGTAGAAAATCTGAGAAAAATACACATTCTTAGAAAAAGTCTAAAAGTTTTAAATTCTGTGAAAAGCCAAAATTCTGTGAAAAGGGAGAATTGTTAGAAAAAGTCAAAATTCTGGAAAGAAAACAGAATTCCAAGAAAAAGTAGAAAATCTGAGAAAAGTACACATTCTTAGAAAAAGTCTAAAAGTTTTAAATTCTGTGAAAAGCCAAAATTCTGAGAAAAGGGAGAATTGTTAGAAAAAGTCAAAATTCTGTGAAAGAAAACAGAATTCCAAGAAAAAGTCGAAAATCTGAGAAAATTCTGAGAATAAAACTAATTCTGAGAAAAAAACTGAATTCTTAGAAAAGTCAAAATTCTGAGACATTTTAAATTCTAAGAAAATTCTAAGATCTGTAAAAAAAAAACTGAATTCCGAGAAAAAGTCGAAAACCTGAGAAAAGTACAAATTCTTATAAAAAGTCAAAATTCTGAGAAAATAAAGATGACGTTATATAGTCTATATAACAACAACAACATTCCGTAAATGAAAATGTCCTGCCTCCTCTCTCCAGGTACGACGGGAACTCTCTGCTCAGCAGCATCGAGTGCTACGACCCCGTCATCGACTCCTGGGAGGTCGTGACCTCCATGGCGACGCAGCGCTGCGACGCCGGAGTGTGTGTGCTGCGAGAGAAGTGAAGAAGACGAAGAAGAGTAAAGTGTTAGTGTTTCCATGAGCACCGTGTTGTAAACATCCTGAACTGACAGCTTGAAACACAACATGTGAAGCAGCAGCGAGCGGACAGACGGCAGCTAGCCTCTCTCACAGCGAACCCTCAGAGCTGCATGACTCTCCTCACCTGTGAGATTATTTTTTCAGTTTGTCTTCAAAGTGCAATATATTTCTACTCATGGAGAAGCTGCTACACGCCTTATGACCCGGCCTGCATCAGACGTCCGTGTTGCCTCATCCATCTTTTTGTAACTGTTTTAGATTCTCTTTCATACAGAAGGTGTTGCTCTCAGATTATATATATATATTTAGAGATTTTAGAGAAATGACTGAATTGTGCCAGTTGATTATTTTGTCCCTGAAGAAATCACAGAGTCAGAGCTGCATGTGATGATTTTATTTTATAAAGCTGTACATTAACCTTCACTGTTGCCTGAGACGTGAATAAACTCACCGAGAAATTAAACCCTGAAACAACAACGCGCTGAGTCGTCAATAATAACAACAACAGATCATGACGAAGCAGTTTGAAGTCTCAGAGTCATATCAGTATGTGGTGTCTCTACTTTAAAGAGTCCTCTCCTGCTGATGTTCAGGTGTATATCAGTATGTAGTGTCTCTACTTTAAAGAGTCCTCTCCTGCTGATGTTCAGGTGTATCAGTATGTAGTGTCTCTACTTTAAAGAGTCCTCTCCTGCTGATGTTCAGGTGTATATCAGTATGTAGTGTCTCTACTTTAAAGAGTCCTCTCATGCTGATGTTCAGGTGTATATCAGTATGTAGTGTCTCTACTTTAAAGAGTCCTCTCTTGCTGATGTTCAGGAGTATATCAGTATGTAGTGTCTCTACTTTAAAGAGTCCTCTCCTGCTGATGTTCAGGAGTATATCAGTAGTTAGTGTATCTACTTTAAAGAGTCCTCTCCTGCTGATGTTCAGGTGTATATCAGTATGTAGTGTCTCTACTTTAAAGAGTCCTCTCCTGCTGATGTTCAGGTGTATATCAGTATGTGGTGTCTCTACTTTAAAGAGTCCTCTCCTGCTGATGTTCAGGTGTATATCAATATGTAGTGTCTCTACTTTAAAGAGTCCTCTCCTGCTGATGTTCAGGTGTATATCAGTATGTAGTGTCTCTACTTTAAAGAGTCCTCTCCTGCTGATGTTCAGGTGTATATCAGTATGTAGTGTCTCTACTTTAAAGAGTCCTCTCCTGCTGATGTTCAGGTGTATATCAGTATGTAGTGTCTCTACTTTAAAGAGTCCTCTCCTGCTGATGTTCAGGTGTATATCAGTATGTGGTGTCTCTACTTTAAAGAGTCCTCTCCTGCTGATGTTCAGGTGTATATCAGTATGTGGTGTCTCTACTTTAAAGAGTCCTCTCCTGCTGATGTTCAGGTGTATATCAGTATGTAGTGTCTCTACTTTAAAGAGTCCTCTCCTGCTGATGTTCAGGTGTATATCAGTATGTAGTGTCTCTACTTTAAAGAGTCCTCTCCTGCTGATGTTCAGGTGTATATCAGTATGTAGTGTCTCTACTTTAAAGAGTCCTCTCCTGCTGATGTTCAGGTGTATATCAGTATGTAGTGTCTCTACTTTAAAGAGTCCTCTCCTGCTGATGTTCAGGTGTATATCAGTATGTAGTGTCTCTACTTTAAAGAGTCCTCTCCTGCTGATGTTCAGGTGTATATCAGTATGTGGTTGTCTCTACTTTAAAGAGTCCTCTCCTGCTGATGTTCAGGTGTATATCAGTATGTAGTGTCTCTACTTTAAAGAGTCCTCTCCTGCTGATGTTCAGGTGTATATCAGTATGTAGTGTCTCTACTTTAAAGAGTCCTCTCCTGCTGATGTTCAGGTGTATATCAGTATGTAGTGTCTCTACTTTAGAGAGTCCTCTCATGCTGATGTTCAGGTGTATATCAGTAGTGTCTCATACTAAGGGTGGGGGGGATGTAGTGTCTCTACTTTAAAGAGTCCTCTCTTGCTGATGTTCAGGTGTATATCAGTATGTAGTGTCTCTACTTTAAAGAGTCCTCTCCTGCTGATGTTCAGGTGTATATCAGTATGTAGTGTCTCTACTTTAAAGAGTCCTCTCCTGCTGATGTTCAGGTGTATATCAGTATGTAGTGTCTCTACTTTAAAGAGTCCTCTCCTGCTGATGTTCAGGTGTATATCAGTATGTAGTGTCTCTACTTTAAAGAGTTCTCTCCTGCTGATATTCAGGTGTATATCAGTATGTAGTGTCTCTACTTTAAAGAGTCCTCTCCTGCTGATGTTCAGGTGTATATCAGTATGTAGTGTCTCTACTTTAAAGAGTCCTCTCCTGCTGATGATCAGGTGTATATCAGTATGTAGTGTCTCTACTTTAAAGAGTCCTCTCCTGCTGATGTTCAGGTGTATATCAGTATGCAGTGTCTCTACTTTAAAGAGTCCTCTCCTGCTGATGTTCAGGTGTATATCAGTATGTAGTGTCTCTACTTTAAAGAGTCCTCTCCTGCTGATGTTCAAGTGTATATCAGTATGTAGTGTCTCTACTTTAAAGAGTCCTCTCCTGCTGATGTTCAGGAGTATATCAGTAGTTAGTGTATCTACTTTAAAGAGTCCTCTCCTGCTGATGTTCAGGTGTATATCAGTATGTAGTGTCTCTACTTTAAAGAGTCCTCTCCTGCTGATGTTCAGGTGTATATCAGTATGTGGTGTCTCTACTTTAAAGAGTCCTCTCCTGCTGATGTTCAGGTGTATATCAATATGTAGTGTCTCTACTTTAAAGAGTCCCTCTCCTGCTGATGTTCAGGTGTATATCAGTATGTAGTGTCTCTACTTTAAAGAGTCCTCTCCTGCTGATGTTCAGGTGTATATCAGTATGTAGTGTCTCTACTTTAAAGAGTCCTCTCCTGCTGATGTTCAGGTGTATATCAGTATGTAGTGTCTCTACTTTAAAGAGTCCTCTCCTGCTGATGTTCAGGTGTATATCAGTATGTGGTGTCTCTACTTTAAAGAGTCCTCTCCTGCTGATGTTCAGGTGTATATCAGTATGTGGTGTCTCTACTTTAAAGAGTCCTCTCCTGCTGATGTTCAGGTGTATATCAGTATGTAGTGTCTCTCCTTTAAAGAGTTCTCTCCTGCTGATGTTCAGGTGTATATCAGTATGTAGTGTCTCTACTTTAAAGAGTCCTCTCCTGCTGATGTTCAGGTGTATATCAGTATGTAGTGTCTCTACTTTAAAGAGTCCTCTCCTGCTGATGTTCAGGTGTATATCAGTATGTAGTGTCTCTACTTTAAAGAGTCCTCTCCTGCTGATGTTCAGGTGTATATCAGTATGTAGTGTCTCTACTTTAAAGAGTCCTCTCCTGCTGATGTTCAGGTGTATATCAGTATGTAGTGTCTCTATATCAGTATGTGGTGTCTCTACTTTAAAGAGTCCTCTCCTGCTGATGTTCAGGTGTATATCAGTATGTAGTGTCTCTACTTTAAAGAGTCCTCTCCTGCTGATGTTCAGGTGTATATCAGTATGTAGTGTCTCTACTTTAAAGAGTCCTCTCCTGCTGATGTTCAGGTGTATATCAGTATGTAGTGTCTCTACTTTAAAGAGTCCTCTCCTGCTGATGTTCAGGTGTATATCAGTATGTAGTGTCTCTACTTTAAAGAGTCCTCTCCTGCTGATGTTCAGGTGTATATCAGTATGTAGTGTCTCTACTTTAAAGAGTCCTCTCCTGCTGATGTTCAGGTGTATATCAGTATGTAGTGTCTCTACTTTAAAGAGTCCTCTCCTGCTGATGATCAGGTGTATATCAGTATGTAGTGTCTCTACTTTAAAGAGTCCTCTCCTGCTGATGTTCAGGTGTATATCAGTATGTAGTGTCTCTACTTTAAAGAGTCCTCTCCTGCTGATGTTCAGGTGTATATCAGTATGTAGTGTCTCTACTTTAAAGAGTCCTCTCCTGCTGATGTTCAAGTGTATATCAGTATGTAGTGTCTCTACTTTAAAGAGTCCTCTCCTGCTGATGTCCAGGTGTATATCAGTATGTAGTGTCTCTACTTTAAAGAGTCCTCTCCTGCTGATGTCCAGGTGTATATCAGTATGTAGTGACTAACTACAGCTCATTGAGCTAAAGGACTCTCTGAGGGACTTTAGTCTAAGTTATCTCAGTGAGCCTCAAACGGTTTGGTCATCTATGTAAACACATATTTCCAATGCAAACCTTTATCTATTTAATAAAGTAAAAAAAATGTAAGAACTCATTCCAATGTGTAGCTACTATAGGACAGTAACACGTACAAAATACAGTTTATAAGGTGATTAGTGAAATGTGATAATCTAATTATTTTTTGATTGTTAAAATATATACAGTTCTGTATGAGCGTTGAGAGATGTATCCATAAGGCGCGTTCACACCGCAGTACTTTTCCCACAAAGGTTCATCAGAACTCTAGTTCTGATGAACGAAGTACAGATGGCGTTCACACCGGAATAAGTCCCTGGGGGAGGATTAGGCAAATGAAGCAGCTGACGTCACTTCTTCTTCTTCTGCTTTGGGTTTACTGGCAGGCCGCAAACAACTTCACGGCGTATACTGCCACCCGGAGTCCCCGGCCGGAAGTCCCCGGAGTTGGAGACTGGCTTCAGTAGAAGCTGCTGGGACTCCCAGCTGCTTCTACTGAAGCCTACAGAGTAAATCTCCAGAACGCCGACACCTCCTCATCTCCACCGCTCCCATGTTTTCTTTTGTGTTGCCATAAGTTAGTCTCTCTGCGTTTCTGCGCTGGGCTAATGCTAATGCTAATAATGCTAATGCGAGGATAATAAAATGGCGGCTTCACAAAACTTTTTGGGAGTTTTACGGAGCGTGGTTTGCAATCCGCCCAGCCAATCAGACATAGGAACCTTTTTCTCCCACGAAAGTACCTGCTCTCTAGCAGGGACGGAAAAGGGGGTAAAAAGGTTCTCATGAACTCATTTTAGTTCCGGCTCTTTTTGGTGTGAACGCGACATTTCGGAACTATATCGGAACTAAAGTGGGAAAAGTACTGCGGTGTGAACGCGCCTATTGATCTCTTCATCTTGCTCTCACCAGATTGATGCTTTTATCTCCAACATTTAACCCCTAGAGGAGGTGAGGTCCCCCCCTAGAGGAGGTGAGGTACCCCCCCTAGAGGAGGTGAGGACCCCCCTAGAGGAGGTGAGGTCCCCCCCTAGAGGAGGTGAGGACCCCCCTAGAGGAGGTGAGGTCCCCCCTAGAGGAGGTGAGGTCCCCGCAAATAAAACAGGTTCACGTGGATAGGATACCAGATACATTTGCACACTCGTCATATACACTACACATTTTTCTTGGATTTTTGTTAACACCATAGTCCCTAATATATTTGTAGAAAGGCAGGAAATGGGATTCAAATCGAGAACATTTTTCATTGCAGAGGACCCCCTGTTGTGTGTGTGTGTGTGTGTGTGTCCCCCACTTCTCAAACCAAAGCTACACCCTTGACTGATGAGCTTGGTTTGTTTTCAGTGTCTTTCTAAACTATGATGATTATAACTGCATTAAAACATGAACTTTTGATACGTTATGCATGATCCGGGCGGTGTGAGCAGATGTTATAGAAAAGCGACCAATCAGACTGCTCAGCGGGTTATTTAAACAACGAGTCCCGGCAGCCCCTGAAGGTGTCACCTGAACGTATCCCTCCGCGTGTAAAGTGTAAACATTAGGCAGCCTACAAAGAGCAGAACTGTTTCACAGAATATTCAATATTTCTTAAAAACACGATGAGAGGAAGTACTAGTACCCGCAGTTAGAAGCTGTTTGTTGTTCTGCAGAGATGAAGAGGTGCTGAGGAGCAAGTTGAGCAACCATCATCATCATCATCATCATCATCATCATCAAAAACGAGTTCCTGCTTTAAAGATGCAAATGTTCAACAAAGCTCAGGTTAGATTATCTACGAGGATGGTGGAAAGTAACTAAGAATATTTAATCAACTACTGTATTTAAGTGTACATTTAAAGTACTTTACATGCATATTACTTTATAATGCAGTATGTACATATACATTTATACTGGTGGAAGACTTTTTTAAAGTAGGAACACCTGACAATGTACTCGGTTAACCAAAAATACATTAGGTGTGTCTGGAGGAACACAGGGATTTGAGTCTTTGCAGACCATTGACATGCACTAACACCTATAGAACTACAGGAGAGAGAGCACCACAGAGAGAAGAACAGGTACCAAAAGTTGCATTATTTATTGCATGAAATATATTATACATGAACATCTCTTTTATGTTGACATTATACTGCGCTGTAAGTCTTATCTTTATGCACAATAACACAGTCATTAAAATGTAGTTATAGTGGTGTAGAAGTATAGAGTTGCAAACAATGGAAAACTGGAAATATAATCAGTATCAGGTTTATTAACAACAATCAGCATGTATGCAAAATCAAGAAATATAAATATAGGTAAATATACAAAACAAATATAAAAAAATACTACAAAAAAACATAAATTAGCTTATTATACAATTATGTACAATATATCTAAATATAGAATATTTAAAAATAGAAAGGCTGTGAAGTTTTGTGTATTTTTGTGCAGAAATGTGGAACATTCTAAGAGGGATGTGCAAACGTACGCAGTCTTAGTTTCAAGTACCTACAATTAAATGTAAGTATATTGTAAGTAAGCATAGTACTTCCACCACTGTGTATATTGTATTTATATACATAACAATGTATTGCACCACAACACTGATAAAAAAGCAAACCTATTGAAATGCAGTTTGTTATTAAGAAGCGTTATTAACCTGAGGCATTGTACAGATGACACATCGATCTATTTTGTATTATGTATCTAAATCTTCAAATTACCTTATCAGATGCATTCAGTGGATTAAATACAATATTTCCCTCTGAAATATAGTGGCGTGGAAGTAGAAAGTAGAAAGTAGAAAAACATGTGAATTCTGGAAATATTATTAAGAGCTGAGGGGTGGGTCTACTTTTTTCAGCGGACGTGCTCACTGCCTTGGAACACTGTGCATGGATGTATGTGTGAGTGTGTGTGTGTGTGTGTTTGTGAGTGTCGAAGTGTGTGTGTAAACTGCCTCCTCTCGTGCTGCTGACGACAGACTGCCATCGGGATTATAAAAAAAACTACAAATATAAAAACTCCTACAGGAGAACCGTGACCCTGCAGCGGGACTCCCTCTGTCACCTAGCCGGGTTCAGAGCTCTATTTACGGGGACGATATGAGCCAGCCTCGGCCGGACGAGTTCCAGCCTCCTCCGGAGTGCCCGGTGTTCGAGCCGAGCTGGGAGGAATTCAGAGACCCGTACTCCTTCATCAATAAGATCCGACCCATCGCGGAGAGAACCGGCATCTGTAAGGTCCGGCCGCCCCCGGTGAGTGTGTCTGATTCCCCGGTAACGGAGGGGCGAAATGTCGGTAGAAGGACCGGCTCAAGGAGAGGAGAAACGCTGTAGATTTAAAGGGACTCTCCAACATGGCGGACGTTCATTCTTTGTGCTGCTCACACACACAGAGGCTCTCAGTGGTGGGAAGTAACCAAGTACATGTACTCAAGTACTGGAGGATGTTATAAAAGGAAAATATTCCAACAAAATACTAATCATTAAAAAAGAATAAGGAAAAGTAATTACACCAAATATACATGTATACAATATTCATAATATTCATTTTCACATTGTGTGTAATGCCTTGTTTACAGACAACAAATACCTAATAGGGATACAAATAATACATCTTCATGAAAATAAACTAAATCACTAATACACTTACAATGAATATATGACAACTGCAGTAGTGAAGTACATCAGTCAAGTTCTGTAAATATTATAATACATATTTTGTATGTGTCATTAAAAAAGGTAAAGTATTTACACCAAATACTAAAAAACCTTACTACAATGAATATTTGACAACTGCAGTATATTATATTTTAAAGTGGAAGCAGGGATTTATATTATACATAACAACAATAATAATAATACATGTGATTTCTGGTGTTTTTCCTGGTGCTCAAAGCGCTTACATACATATATTTATGTGCTAAACATACTGAGATGAACATGGGTCATAGTATTAAAAAAGAGCAATATGTTGTTGACATGATGTGTATTTATGTAATTAGTGATAAAGTAACCAAGTACATTTACTCAGGTACTGCATTCTACAAGAATTACACATACGTATTCTCAGTAATAAAGACCTATATTCAGAGAAGTACACATTATGTCATATACAGAATAAAATAGAATACTCTCTGATTTACCAACCTGCTGATCATATACACATAGTGTAATAAAGAGGTTGTGCACAGTAGCTTATATAGTAAAGTATATCCTTTGAGGTAGGCTGCATTATTTAGGTACAACATTGTACTTGTACTTTAATTTAACTATTACAACTGTGTACTTTTCCTCCACTACATGTATTTAATACCTTTAGTTACTTCACAGATGTGGATGAATGATGTGAAATATAACCAAGTGTTAAATCAGACTTTAGTTCCACCTGGAGTAAATCCACAAGCTACCCTGCAGTATACAAAGTCATTCAAACTAGCTGCACCTTTACCAGCTTTGAGAACACTTTCATGATCAATCATTATAAAACATATCATATATATTATTCTGAAATGGACCAATCTGCACAATGACTACTTTTACTGTCGCTACTTTAACTATATTTTGATGAGAATACTTTTATACTTTCACTTGAGGAACATTTTGAATGCAGGACTTTTACTGTAACAGAGTATTCCTACACTCTAGTACTTCTACTTTTACTCAAGTACAAGATCTGAGTACTTCTACTTTTACTCAAGTAGGCCTACAAGATCTGAGTACTTCTACTTTTACTCAAGTACAAGACCTGAGTACTTCTACTTTTACTCAACAACAAGATCTGAGTACTTCTACTTTTACTCAAGTACAAGACCTGAGTACTTCTATTTTTACTCAAGTACAAGATCTGAGTACTTCTACTTTTACTCAAGTACAAGATCTGAGTACTTCTCCCATCTCTGCTAGGCTAGTTAGCTCCCGTTTGTGGCTATTTAAACGCAGTTCTTTTGCCCCGTTTCATGTTTAATGTGTCTGATAAAGATGTGTTGGTGTATTTCGAGTGTACTACGGTGGTGTTCCTCCGTGTTGTCGGTAAACAAAGCCCCCAGGGCTCCGATCATTGAGGCTAGGCTAACGTTAGCTCAACAACCAACCTGTCATTAAAACCTGAAGGAAGTTGAAGCCGGTTTTTATGAATGGACGTAGTGGCCAAACGGTGGTACTACAACTACCGTGATGTCATAATGGACTTTTCCCATTGACTTACATGGGGGAAAGAGACGTCTGTAAATCAGCGTGTAATTTTTTTTAAAGCTAAATAAAATACCCAGCATGAACACTGTTACATCCCTTATTTAACTCATTAAGGTGTTAACGTTTTAAAACGCGTTAAAAGATGAATCCAAGTTATTTTCTCTATCGATTCATCTGACTGACAGAGAGCAGGGGATCGGATGCGGGGTTTAAGAGGAAAACCCAACTGCGCATGCTCAATGGGCCCACATCCGGGTAGTTTAGTGGCCATTCTGGGCTTCATGCACCATTGAGTAACGCTCATATAAACGGTGTTGTATTCAGCTCTTTTATACAACCATGGTCATAATTCAGGACACAGCTTTGACATCTGTTCGGAGGGAAAACTTTCTCCTTCTTCAGCTTAAAATATGAAGATAAAAACATGGATTATAAACATGAATTAACCCTTTTGGCCTTATTATTCAAATGTCAACACATCCCTGCAGTTGGGGTTGATTAAGGTTTCTTTGTAGGAGAGCATCCTCACAAAGCACTTGCATCCCTTCTCAGTTTCTACTAAATATATGAAGCTTTTATGTGTTTATCTCAATGGTTAACTTAATTAAATGTTCTTTTTAATGGTTTAATGTCACTGAAATGTGCCCTTGTGATGGGACTCAGGTTTATTTACATATACTCTTATTGTTATATTTGAAGATGTGGTTCAGCATCGCAGTTGTGTTGCATGATGTAGTAATAAATTACGCGTGTGTGAAGGTGAGGCAGTGTTCATGCTCGGGCCTGTATGTTGCAGGGTGTTGTCCTCCATGTTGGCTTTGTGGCAATCTGTGAGGGAGTCTTCCATCTGGCCCGTCTGTGTGCCAGGCAGCGGGGGAGGTGGGTTTCTCACTGTCAACAAGAAACTGGGATTAGGTCAATCTGTTGGGATGCTCGTACTGGGATTAACCTCCAAATGATGAACATAAATGACATCATTGGGATGTCTTTGTGGCACGAATTGGCTCCTGATGTCTGGTGTTAGGTCGGTTTTCCAATCAGCGAGGCTATGATGTGTTCAATGGAACCTGTAACATAATATAATATCATTATTTAACGACATTATGTTTGTGTCTTCTGTTAGAAATTAAAATCAAGATTCATCAATACTTCTGCTGCCTTTTCTGTTTCTTAGTTGTTGTTGTTGTTGTTGACGCGTCTCTGCTTGTTCTTGTTTAGCTGTTTTCAGTATAGCCGATGTAGATTTTCAACATGGCATCATTGAACTGTATGTTGGGATTATACTCCAATCCTCCAGTGTACTCAAAGTGCTTTATTCAAATGGCTTTGCGTGCTGCTCTTTATCACAAAACCATTGGATTTAAAGGATATATATCTGGTTTGAAGTCCAATTAGCTCGACTCTAATGTGTTCAAAGGAACCCGTAACACATAGAATATAATAATTAAACAGCATTATGTTATCTCACAGGGTTTGTGTGATTTCTGTTTCTCAAAATCTTAAATACTATCAGTATTTTTTCCACATGTATTTACAGCGCGAAGAGGGGACACTCAGGTTCACGCTGTAAATACATGTGGAAAAAATACTGATAGTATTTCAGATTTTTGTCGTTAATTAACAAGAAATGTCTCACAATGTTACGGGAAAAACTGAAGTCATAAATGAGGTCGACCTCACCATGCGAAGTGCTAAGATGAGATGGACCTTTATTTAAGGAGTTGAAAACAGGACAGATCCACACGAGGTAAAACAAGTACACACCAAATGTAAATGATTCAGTAACTGTTGAGATATTTACATATTTGTGTTCAGATTATTAGATATATTTAAATGTGGTGTGCCGATGCAAGCCGGTCAGAAAGCAAGACTGAGTCTGGACAAACATGATCAGTCTTTTCAATATGGAAATGCATTTCTATTATTATCCTAGGCGTTTTTCAGCCTAGGATAATATGGAATAAACGGCTGTAACTTGCTCAGGGAACATAATATGCAGGTTAAATGTAATTTGGAAGTATAAAACATCTATATGCAGCTTTATAAATAATAAAAAAGAAAATTCCTATGATCCTGGCAGAGTAAACACTAAAAAAACATTTGTACTGGCGTTTTTGAAAAGTGCTGGTAAAGTCAGCCATTATCACACAAAGTTAAGGTAAAATGTGGACTTTAAATGAAGCAGACTTGAGCTTGAGCTTCTCCTGAATCAAATGAGGTAAGGCACTTGATGCTGGCTGCTAGAGAAGGTTAGAAAAGGTGAGGAGAAACAAATAAACACAGGAGAGTCAGGCAGGCGGAAATCCCGTCTTTTCTTCACCAAAAATAATACAGTTTTTCATTTTTTTTCAAATTGATCTCAGGGAATATTCGAGTCTCGTGTCAATGTACAACCTTCCTCTCAAAAATGTGACATCAAATCCAGAAATGTGAAAGTTGTCTGATATCAAAGTCACAATGAACATGCGTGACTTTTCAACGTTGGAGTAACTCATTCTGGGGACTGCAACCCTTCAGAGTCTTTGTCCACTCTCCCACTTTGTATATATCTCCAATAGTCCCTCTGTTGTTCTGCCTGCATTCTGGGATGTTGTTGTCCTGTATGCCGGCTGTGTTCAGTATTGATCTGATATTGATCCGTGTTATAGAGGAGAGCGTCTCTGTGTTCAATCAATCAATCAATCAATCAATCTTCAGCAGCTGCTCTCCAAACTATAACCTCACTTTGAAAACCTGCAACCAGTTATCTGCTCCCAGATATCAATATCCATGCTTCCTGTTGTTCTGACCTTTGTGTGTGTGTGTGTGTGTGTGTGTGTGTGTGTGTGTGTGTGTGTGTGTGTGTGTGTGTGTGTGTGTGTGTGTGTGTGTGTGTGTGTGTGTGTGTGTGTGTGTGTGGTGTGTGTGTGTGTGTGTGTGTGTGTGTGTGTGTGTGTGGTGTGTGTGTGTGTGTGTGTGTGTGTGTGTGTGTGTGTGTGTGTGTGTGTGTGTGTGTGTGTGTGCAGGGCTGGCAGCCTCCGTTTGCTTGTGATGTCGACAGACTTCACTTCGTTCCTCGGATCCAGAGGCTCAACGAGCTGGAGGTGAGTTTAGTTATTTAAATTAATTAATCCACTTTTTTCCTGTATCAAACATAAAGACATAAACATGACATTTATTCACTTAAACATTCAAACTGATTATTGAGTGTATCACGTCTCTTCCTCAGTGGATGATGTTTCCTCTTGTTTAGATTACTCAGCCCTGTTATCTCTCTCCGGGGATCGCCTCACTTTTCCTTCTAAGCCTCCCTCTGGTTTGTTCCCCTGGTTCCTGACTGTTTGCATTTCTCACATTATGTCCCAGGCGCAGACCAGAGTCAAACTCAACTTCCTCGACCAGATCGCCAAATTCTGGGACCTGCAGGGATGCGCCCTGAAGATCCCCCACGTGGAGAGGAAGATCCTGGATCTATACAAGCTGAACAAGGTTTGCATGTCATTGTCATTGTGCTGAACCTTGTATTTTTTGCACAGTGTGAGATAAAAATGACACTTATATTATGAATATTACACTTAAAGGGGACCTATCATGCAAAATGCACTTGTTGATGTCTTCTCTACATCACCATGTGTCCCCGGTGTGTCCCCGGCGTGTCCCCGGCGTGTCCCCGGCGTGTCCCCGGCGTGTCCCCGGTGTGTCCCCGGTGTGTCGGGGAACTCACGCAGCGTCAGAAAATAAACCCCTCTCTCTTTTCCTCCGTACCCAATCTCTAAAAACGGGGGAACAACGGAGCTGATCCAGATTTGCGTCCGATATGACGTAATATCTGAAATGTGGACCCACGGCCCTATCAGAAACGTTGCTATCAGAAACAATGCCCGACTGTTTTGGACGTAATATGGTCTGTGTTTACATTAGCATCGCTAACACTCAGAGCTAACCTGTACTGGAGAGCATGTGTGTGAAGAAGCAGGAAATAAAAAGGAACTCACCTTGTGGTATAACCAGCAAGAGAGAAAGCCTTTGAGCTCCATACTGTTTCAGAGAGAATCCTTGATAATCCATGATATGGCGTTTCATCACGGCAGCATTTAGTTTAGACAGTAGCTGCCGGGTCCCCCATGAGCTCAGCCCTCTCCCTTTTTATTTTAAAGCTTTATACCCCAAATCAGCACTTTAGAAACAGGAAGTGAAACAGAGGGATATGAGGCATGGCTAGAATGGTCTGTTTGGTGTTTGGAGCAAAACACTTCATAGACATGTTTTTTATATATTTTTATATATCTGAGACCTATGCTATTGCCTAAAGATAGCATGATAGGTGACCTTTAAGAGAGGGTTGCAGATGGGAGGCGTGTGGCGCAGTGGGTTCAAACCCCACTGCAATCAGCATGTCGTTGTGTCCCTGAGACACTTCACCCCAAAGTGCTCCTGTGGGGATTGCCCACAGTATTGAGTCTGTTAGTCCCTTTGGATACAAGCGTCTAACAAGCGATGTCATGTGTTTTATCAAGTCATGTCCAATACCTCCAGAAGTCCAAATGTCAACATTTATTTAAAACAGGATAAATATAATGACTCTAAAATTCACAACATGTGTTTATCTCACTAAATAATCTGCTTCCATATTTGTTTGTTGTTGTTTAGCCTCAATAATAACATGTTTACTGCACTCACAAACAATGTGCTGTCCTGTTTGAGGCACTGGCGAGTTATAGTCCTTAAAGAACTTTAAAAATGAGCATTTCTTTACGTGATTGTTTAACAATAAAAACTCTGAGAGAATAACCCCACAACAAAACGTGTGTGTGTGTGTGTGTGTGTGTGTGTGTGTGTGTGTGTGTGTGTGTGTGTGTGTGTGTGTGTGTGTGTGTGTGTGTGTGTGTGTGTGTGTGTGTGTGTGTGTGTGTGTGTGTGTGTGTGTGTGTGTGTGTGTGTGTGTGTGTGTGTGTGTGTGTGTGTGTGTGCAGCTGGTAGCAGAGGATGGAGGCTTCGATCTGGTCTGCACGGAGCGCCGCTGGACGAAGATAGCGATGACGATGGGTTTCGCTCCAGGTAAAGCGGTGGGCTCTCACCTGAGGGTTCACTACGAGAAGATCCTGTACCCCTACAACCTGTTCCAGAGCGGAGCACACCTGCTGGTGAGGAGGAGGAACTACACTCACATCTACATATTAAACATCTTTCTTAGAGGAGCGAGCTGACACACAGAGAACATTGGAGCATGATCTGAGGCTTTGGAAAACGCAGGAATGTGCATCATTTTATTGCATCATACGGATTTTAATTTTGCACAATCCACGTAAAGCTAAAGAAACGTCTGTAGAAACAAAGATTGAGTTTTCTCAAGTTAATGTTTCAAGTCTCTCTCATCACGAGCTCAGCAGCTGGAGAGATATGGCAATGAAAACCTGGAGTCCTCCTCCAGCAGAGCAACATGAATCTATAGAGGACATAGAACTAATAAAACAGATCAATCAAATAAAAGATAGATACAGTCATTTTTCATAAATTCAAACATTTGTCTGAAAATCAAAAAATTCGGACTTTCTCTAAAAATTCAGAAAATCTAAAACATCCTGACTTTTTTCCGAAAATCCTTAAAATTCTCACTTTTTCCTGAAAATCATACATTTCTGAATTCTTCCTGAAAATCCTAAAATTCAGACTTTTTCCTGAAAATCCTCAAAATTCGTACTTTTCTCAAAATTCTGAAAATCTTAAAATTCTGAAAATCTTAAAATTCTATATACAGTAGGACAGAACAGATAAAACAGATAACATAGTGCAAGAGAATGTCTCCCTCTGATCCGAGAGAATACCCTGTCAACTCAAGACTCAGAGTAAACCCTCCTGGCTCCATATATATTATTTGTTTATATCTACAGCTAATTTTACTACAAATTCTTAAAATATTTGAAATGTAAAAATCCCTTCGTAGTGTTTTCATACAAAACTGCATGAACACACAAATTACTGAGGAAGACATCTGAATATTGTGGAGGTTTTAATAATGAACGTGCCACTTTTTAAAAAACCTCATGAAATGACAAATGCTATGAGGATAAGAATCAGAAAGAGAAAACCCACTAAAATCATTTATATTCTCACCTAAATCTATGCCTGAATGATGGTATATTTCTACATGGAAAAAACTCATAATTTCACAAATGAATGAGACAATAAACGCCCTCCTCGGCTCCGTACATATCATTTATTTTATACCTGTAATGGCCCTTTATACCTGTATATTGCATTATTGAACGTTCACTCATAAACAAAAATCTCAACATACAATCAGAGATGAAGAAAGCATCATTTTAGGCCCCGTCCACACGGAGACGAAAACGAACAGAATTCAATATCAAAAAAGTCTTCTGTCCACACGAGACCGCTCGACCCGCTGGAGACGCTGTAGTACATATGCCGGGCCTGTAAGTGGCGCTGTACTTCCGCCACAAAATACACCAAAATCAACTGACTGTGTGAACGTGAACATTAATAGAATATCCCCTCCCATCTTCAGAGCAATCTGACTATTATAATATTAGCGTTAAGAAAGCTTACTTAAATATCTGCCACGACATAAGTAACCGGATCAGAGTAACATTAAGTACAGTCCGCGGCACTGTGAGTGCAGACGTAGATGTGTCCCATTATCATTCATATCATATCACATCATAATGTATCATATATTTCCTTATCTGAGTCAGCTGAGCCGTATCTGGCCGTGCAACACTCACAGTGTCACATACTGTATGCAGAAGTATTATTTTAAGCAACACATTAAGTTGACGAAACACTCGAGTCAAATGTAATTAAAGTCAGATCGTGTCTTGGACGGGGCAGTGATATCATAAACCTGTTAATGTACGCATTCAAACACTTTCTCTGTTACCAGCTGTATTCACCTTGCAGGTGCAGCTATGTGGCTTTGATCCTGGATAAAGTGTTTAAGTCATGGATGTTTAAAGTTTAACTTCTTCATATTTGACTAATATTAAAGTTCACTTTTCATTCAGGAAGTATGACGCTGCGCTGTCAGTACGCTTGTCCATGTTTGTGATTGGTCGAATGCTCCAGATACCACCCCTTTCATGTGAACGCGCACCTAACTAGATAGGACACGGCTGGCTTGAGCGATCCACTTGATAACCAGCGTCGTAGTACAGTTTAGCGAGAGCGCATATGTTTTGGCTTAGGCCAACCGGCTAACTCAAACATATCCAGGTTAAGTTGAACCAGCTTCGTAGTACAGGCCTCTGGAGAGGTGGGGCTATGATCATATAGGGCGTACATACAGAGCCGTAAGCGTTTCGTCCCCAGACCTACCGACCTTGGGAGCCGTTATCAAAGGGTATCGTTTGAGGGCTCCGTGTCCGCGGCTCCGTGTCGGCCTCGTGTGGACGAACCGTCTATACGATAAAGAACTGTAGCGGATACGACCCGTTTCGTCTCCGTGTGGACGGGGCCTTAGGCCTAGGCTCCACGGGGACGAAAACGGGTTGAATCCGCATATTTCTCATGCGTATAGCCCTTTAAGCTCGACGACGCCGTAACAGAAACGTAGAAACAGACCCCGCAAACGACAACGGGTCCAAAGGTGGATAGATCTGGGAACGGAGCGCTCTGGGGGGTCCAACGGGCCGTGGGGTCGCCTATACGGTCATCCGTTTCATAGCCCCGCCTCTCCCCGCCTCTTCCCACCTCTCCGCGTACCCCGCATCATTGCTGATGTGTTTCGTTAACAACAACAATGGCGGATCGCAGGGTTGCTATCGTGCTCCAGTCGCTACTGACCATGCTACAGTTCTTTGTGCAACATCTACAGGAGCTCCTCCTTGAATTCAGATTATTTATCTTTATCTCGATATGGACATAAACGCGAGTGAAGTCTAATCTGACAGGACGGAGACACGCAGCTCCTCCCGCTGTGATGCAGCGGGAGCAAAACACACAGTTCAAGTCAGATCATCACCCTTAGCTATTTTAATTACCTCTCAAACTAAACTAGTTATAAATATGTTCATTTTTACTGTCGAGTCATCATTACTGGATCAGCTGCTGCATGAGACAGACACTGACGCTGTGAGAAGAGAGGAAAAAGAGAGGCTCCGTGTATTTGATGATTATATATCATTATATCGTCGTTATTCATTTGTTTTAAAGCTCAATAAATAACAATGAAGACCTTTGACCGGCACTTTTATAATTTTGTCCGGAAGATTTAAACTTTAACACACGCTGACCGGCGAAAAACTCTGCCCGGTTCTGTCGGCCCCCACCGCGGAGAATAAACAGAAGGGCAGCCATGACAACCATTCTTCTTCGCTGCTTTTGTGGAGGAAGTTGCTGCTTTTGTGGAGGAAGTTACAGCGCCACGTACAGGTTCGGCATATGGACTGCAGCTTTTCCAGCGGTTGGATCTAAACGGAGCCGTCTCGTGTGGGCAGACACTATCCGGTGTATATTGCGTGTGAACGGAAGCTTTTTGCGATTGCGTTTGCGTTACTCCTATGCGTTTTGCCGTATGCGTTCCCTTGGAGCCGGGGCCTTAGATGTGATGCCAAAGGCGTGTGAATGTTTGCTTTACTCACCCTCACAGAGTGTGTGTCAACAGAAACACAGTACACAGAGTTCAGCTGATCTGTAAACAAACCCTGATAATGCTCATCCATAGCGTTTTATTTCCACCTATCCTTTAATGTTACGGTCAAAGTTAAACCATGTGTCACGCTATAAAAGATGTGTTCAGGAAGACTAGTTTCCTACCATGAAAACAAAAGGAAACAAATGCATTATTAGGATATGCATGGTTTGTTTACGTTGCATTTAATTTAGAGATGACGTTTGTTTTGAACTCTGTTGTTTGACTAACATCAGAGTGTGAATCTGAGTATAAAGAGGGCTGCTCAAACCCAACGTGTGTGTCTCCCGGCTCTCTCTGCTCAGGCTCCAGAGACAGCTTCCAAACTGAAGCTTTGTTTGGAGGCTGACCCTGAACTGGAAAAGGTACGTTTGTGTCGGCAAACTCACCATTAACAAACATGCATGAAGACGTGCACGTGTGGCGGTGTGTTCAGGGTCCTGTTTCAATGAAGACGTGCACGTGTGGCGGTGTGTTCAGGGTCCAGTTTCAATGAAGACGTGCACGTGTGGCGGTGTGTTCAGGGTCCTGTTTCAATGAAGACGTGCACGTGTGGTGGTGTGTTCAGGGTCCTGTTTCAATGAAGATGTGCACGTGTGGCGGTGTGTTCAGGGTCCTGTTTCAATGAAGACGTGCACGTGTGGCGGTGTGTTCAGGGTCCTGAGCGATTAGTTTCATGAGGAGGTGGAAGAAGTATTCAGATTACTTAAGTGAAGGTACTTATACCACACTGGATGAAAGGCTTTCTCACAAATACAAGTCCTGCATTGAAAATGTTCAAAAGTTGTGTTATGAAAAAAAGTCAATAAATGAAAATGTAATAATTCAAAATAAAGTTTAGGTTGAGAATACTCAGGGAAAGTACCTCCAAATAAAAAAAAATATATATCAGAAAAAAGTTTGTGTGTGTGTGTGTGTGTGTGTGTGGTGTGTGGTGTGTGTGTGTGTGTGTGTGTGTGTGTGTGTGTGTGTGTGTGTGTGTGTGTGTGTGTGTGTGTGTGTGTGTGTGTGTGTGTGTGTGTGTGTGTGTGTGTGTGTGTGTGTGTGTGTGTGTACAAGTCAGTTAAAGTTTATGCTAAAAATATAATATTTTCACAGCTTTACAAGAATCTAAACTTTAAGTTTGGGCTATTTTTGATTTAAAAACTCATGTTTCTAATGTAAAAATCCTAATGAGTAAATCAGTAAAAAGTACACTTTCATAGTGACATGAAAAGAAAATACTCAACTAAAGTACAAGTACCTCTAAACCTAAAAAACATACATCAGTTTTTGAAGTATTTGTAATATCTCCAGGTGTTGCCTCGCTGTCAGATGTCTCTCTTTAAAGACAGGAGCTGCTGGGCCACCTCTCCGTCCACCTCTCCGTCCACCTGTCAGGCAGTCTGTGTTATCCAGACAATGCAATCTGACGCTCTTAATTGATATTTAAAGTGACACAATAACACAGACTGACCGACCAATGGAGGCAGACGAAGCCCAGAAGCTCCTGCGTGCTGCGACGTAACATTACAGTTGTAATTGAGCTAATCAGCGGCTCATCAGTTTAAATGTTGTCTCCTCTCCTCTCCTTCTCAATGGCCTCTTTAATGACTAAACAGCCCCTCGCCCTAACCCCTCGCCCTAACCCCTCGCCCTAACCCCTCGCCGGGCAGCTCTCTGAACGCCTGCTCACCTTTCCTCTGTTTGGCATGTTCCTCCCTGTTTGAACTGAAATACTTCCTCTAACCACATCCTCCTCTGGATGTTGACTCTCTCTCTGATGGAGTCCTTCAGCCACAGCGTGACGCTCTTACTTCCCCAGAGCTTATTTTATTACAGCTGATAAACACAAGTAACACTCATATAAAGAGATCTTTTTAAAAACAGGCCGAGGGGTCTCACACTTCCTGTTTCAGAACACCTGTCTTTGTTGGGGTAGTCAAATGAAACGCAGCGTCTAAACATCTATTCATATCTCACCTGAACACACAGGTATTTCCAGTTAGACACACACACACACACACACACACACACACACACACACACACACACACACATACACACACACACACACACACACACACACACACACTTTAGTTTGACACACAGATCTTGTGATACCACAGAGCAATCTTGAAACCTCCTAAGAACAATAATAAATACAGAAATCGGGAGTTTAAAGACCCGCTGTGTGTTCCTGCAGTGTGTTTCAGAAGGCGGAGGGAACAGGAAGTGACATCACCGCGGACACCAAGGAGCTGCAGACCCCCCCGACCTCGCCCGACACACACTCTGCAAGAAGAGCCAAGCGCATGAAGTGTGAGGTGGGTGACGTTTCAATGCAGAGACACACACGCACGCACACACACACACACATGCACGCACGCACACGCACGCACGCACACACACACACACGCACACACACACACACGCACACCTACACACACACATACATACACACACACCACACCACCTCGCACACCACACACACACACGCCCACTACCACACACACACATACAT